CCCCCCCCCCCCCCCCCCCCCCGTCCCTGCCTCTATATTCTAGAGGCAGCAAGGGAGGGACGGAATCGACTCGTCGACTAGTCAAAAGACTATCTGATAAGCAAATGCTTATTGGATAGTCGACTAGTCTTTTACATCCCCAGTGGTAATTAGGTCATTGTGCAAAATTAGGATGGGAGAGTTGAACGGCCATGTTTTTTGAAGCATGGGTCTGTTTGTATTGGTCATGGATTATGAGCCATTAATCTTCTGTCTGTAGGATGGCACTGAAGTGGTCGTCAAAGAAGTGCTGGCAGGGGACAGTGTCCACAGCCTCCTGAGCATTCTTGATGTTATCACGGTAAGTTCCTGTGTGTGGGTGGCTTTCTGAGAGTAGGCCGTACAGCAGTGCTCCCGTCCAAGCTGGGCACCTGGCCGTACAGCAAGGCACCTGTCTGAGCTGGGCAGCGTGGCATGTGAGCATCACATTTGTCATCTTGCTTCTTTCCTGACGTCAGTTTGGGTAGTGCTCTTCTCAGCAACCGGCAAACCACGTGCCCTCACTGAACAGCTCTCAGAGTGTGCCTTTGAGTTGCCTGTTGGCCTGGGATTTATTACACCCCTCCTTGGTGTCTTTCAGTGAATTTGCTTTCAACACGCAGTTCTCTAAAACATTTGGTTATCTTCCCAGCACTGGGGAGAGGTAGCTGTGTGACTGCCAAGTGGTACCAGGAAGACCTCCTCCCTCCCACTGCTGTAAACTTAGTGCCAGGCTATATCAGTACCTGGGGAACCACGTACTAAGGATGATAAGTATCAGTTAATTGAATAGTCAAGTAACCTCATGAATTTTTATTGGCTAGTCGACTATTCTATAGTCCCGGGGGTGGGGCCGGCAGGCAGGATACCAGAGGCAGCGGTGCAGGGTGCCAGGCGGGAGCTGGTCCACGAACGGAGCTAGTTTAAAAACCAGATCCTCTTGAGGACCGGCTACCTGTCGCTCTGTGCTGCTGCCTCTGATAAAGAGGCAGCAGTGTGGGGTGGCAGCAGCCCCTGTCTAAAGAGGTTTGGAACTCCTGGACTCAGCGCAAACTGGAACAGGGTGTGGCTGCCTGCCCTCCTGGCTCCTAATACACTTAAATGTAGAGCTGCAGCAGAGGTGGGTTTTGCACCCGGCACAAGCCAGAACTGAGCCGGGCTGCTGGCTAGCCTGCTAACACGTTTACTGGCAAGAGCGTGGGGAGGGAAATGCGTGTAGTCTATAGCATTAACCTATAAGCTTTTGCTTCTCCATTAGTCAACTCCACTGTTACATCCTTACCACGTACTTCCCTACGCTACGGACTCAGACTTGCCCAGCTGAGTCCTGTGTTGACACCGTGTTGGAAGCTCCAAGTGCTTAACTGGCCTGGAGCAAGCAGCAGCAGCTGCTTGAGAAGTCCCAGCATGTAAAGCTCCATCTGTAACTGAGCTGCATTCTATGGAGGGCAAGCTGGGGCCTGTAATCCCTGCCAGGCAAGTGAATCCCACCGAGGCTAAAGAGGAAGGTGAACATGGGCCTGAGCTCATAGAGCTCTCTCGTGCATCACCAGTAGGACACATGGTAAAGCTCCACGTCTTGTCGGCTCAGTAGAACATCCCACAGGATGTGGCTGCGGCCAGAGTGTATTTATCCTGACCCCTGGGCAGAGCACACTGGTGCCAAGGACTGCAGTCAGTTGCAGGCTGCTCATAAGAAAACTTACGATTGGAATGTAAATTGTTGTTGCTATGTTCAGTCACAGGGCTAGTGAGGGTCAACCCAAAGAAAACGGAACCTCTTTTCTCCGAGGCACTCTTCTGCCTCAGTACCTTTGGAATAGGATTTTAGCTGGGAGTGCGCCAGTTTAGAGTCCTCTGCTCTTCGGTTTGCTTGTTAAGGCTTTGCTATAAAACTCCTTTTATTTGTAGTTAATGCCAATTTGCTGCTGCTCTCCATTCTCACTGTGCTGTTCACTGGGTTTGGCAATCTGTCTGCTTCTGCCCCATTCTGCATTGCTTAACATTCGGCTCATCTTGTGTTTGGAGGTCCATTGGGACGTTAACACTGATTATGTTTGGTCTCGGAGCAGTTAAGGTTGGGTTGATGCCAGAATGTTGAATGTTAATTAGAAGGTGTGCTGGGAGGATGGCATTAGGTTTGGCTTCGCTCATGCTCGTTTGCAAGAGAAATTTCTGTCATTTTACCTCTGCTTCAGTGACGTCTTGCCTGCTGTGCCTTTGCACTGAGGTCACCTCGTGACTGTGCAGCTCTTGCATTTGCAGAGCCCAGTGGAACAGGAACTCGTTTTCAGTTGCCCCGGGGAGCAGGTTTGTGTGATGCCGTTACAAATGGGGATGCGAAGGCATCGGCTGACACGCTGAAGGTCAAACGGGAGATCGTGGCAGAGCAAGCGTTAGGACTCATGAGCTTCTGGCATTAGACACTGTGGCCTGTTTAGATACAAATAAATTGACTAAGTAATTACTCTTATTAAAATAAATCTTTCAGTCGATAACAGCAATTACACCGTGAAATGAGCTAATGACTTTCATCCTTCTTACTATTGCTCAGGCTGCCGGTGGCCATCTGTGGCTGGCTTACGCTGGTGGACTGGCTGGTGGATACTTTACACTGATGGAAGCAAAATCCAAGCTCCTAACTGGAATCCCAGGGCGGGCTTTTCCAGATCATTGTGTGTGTTACTGCAACACCTGATTGGGGGTTGTTAAATCCCACGTGGTGGCTTTGCCTCGTCCAGAAGAGCTTAGGCACTTGAGTGTTCATTGAAGGTGGAAAGAGCCCAGTCAGCTGTCTCTGCTACTGACACTTGACCCTTTCCGTGTTGGGAGTTCTTCCTATGTGCTGGCAATCTAGCAAGCCTGCCAGGCACTCTGCTCGCCACTTGTAGGCGGGGCAAGCAAGGGTTAATGAAAAGCTTTACAGTGTGGAATCTCAGTCCTGCTTTTGAATCCCCACTAGTGGCTGACCTCGCAGTTCCTGCAGCTTGGTTCCTCCCTTCCTAAGCTGTAGTTGGATGCGTTGCCCAAAGGGCGCAACCACCATGTAGGACACAGGTGCTAGCTGTGAGTCATGCTCCTCTAGAGGGGTGCGGTCTCTCTGAGCAGCCACCATGGTGACTGGCAAACCAACACAGCCACTACGAGTGATGATTTGTAGTACAGGAGTGCTGCAAGTGTGGCACACTTGCAAAAAGTGTGGAGGAAATGACAGTAATTGACATTAATTATATATGTGGAGGAAGTGTGGTGGAAATTACATTAATTGAAGAAGAGGGGAAATGACATTAATTGTGTTAGGAAAGTACAGAGAAGAGACTGATTTGCAGCATCCAAGAAAGTGTTGAATGATGCTTGTAAAATGTTTAGCTTGATTTTTTTTTTCCTTAAACACAGTCGGAAGCGGAGTTAGGGCCACAACAATGTCAAACGTTTCCCTGCTAATGTTATGCTGACGGGGGATTTCCTAAGGTTAGAATACAGGCTAGCACTCTAGAGAGTCAGCTGAGATCTCTCGTAGCTCAGCCGTATGTGACTGGTCACTGTTTGCACGGGAGGCCTGCAGGAAAAGCTGAGGCTGCTGCAGGGAGTGGTGACCCTTGTGGTTGTTGTGGGAAAGGTGGTGAGCAGGGGCAGTGGTTACAGTCAAATTGTACTGGCACACTCAGCTAGTGCCTGCACTGGGAAGGCGAGGCAGCATGTCAATCTGACAAGCTACACAGGTTTGGACGGGAAGGGGAATGGGCCTGTTCTACCTAGGGATGTGAGCAACTAGTCGACTGTCTGACGAGCAAATGCTTATCGGATAGTCGATGTGCTAGTTGACTAGTCACACCCCTCCTTGCTTGCTGCCTCTATCAGACCCTGGGCTCCACGCGGTGCTGCCACTTTGAAATGCTGTGTGCAGCCTGGGGTCTGCCACTTTGAAATGCCGTGTGCAGCCCGGAGTCAGCTACAGACTCCCCCACTGACCCCGGGCTCCATGTAGCGCTGCCTCTTTGAAATGCTGCAGGGAGCACGGGGCACTGGGGGACTGCTTGAGTCCCCCTACTGACCCTGTGCTCCCAACTCCCCCACTGACCCCGGGCTCCATGTAGCGCTGCCTCTTTGAAATGCTGCAGGGAGCACGGGGCACTGGGGGACTGCTTGAGTCCCCCTACTGACCCTGTGCTCCCAGCAGCGCTTTTGCCTTTGAAGTGTAGCAAGAGCCCCGAGGCTGTTGCTACACTTCAGAGATGAAGGCGCCCTATCAACTAATCCAATAGTCTGACTGATTGCAGCCCTGCCATTTCCAGGGGAGGAGAGTCCTGTCCCAGACATGTGCCCCCATTTGGGATCATTGCAGCATGCACACCTGGAAAGTCTCTGGTTTTGGAGTTAATGCTTTTTTTTTTAAGTTAAAATAGAGCTGAATATAAAGCTACTAGCAATGTTTCCAGAAGAGAAAGGTGAGCCTGTCAGGGACATACAAAGACTTTTCCAGCCTCCAGCCCCAGTTGAAGATTCTGGAAACTTTATTAATTTTTAAAAATGTTTTCCTGTGTTCTTCCCCTTTTGGGCTCCATCTGGAACTGGAGCTTCCAAAATACCATGCAAGACTCTCTTGTGGGGGTACGTATGCGCTGATTTGGGAGCATGAAGTGCCATAGATCTCATGAGAGAGCGCTGGAAGAACAGTCATGTGTTTTGGGGGTTTTTAGGCTTTGAAGTCATAGCTGCTAGTAGTTTATAATTGTAGTAATAATGTTTACTTAACTCCCACTTGTAGCTCTGTAAATGTGTACACTATTTTACAAGCACATTGTAAGGCGCACTCTTTGCTCTGGAGAATCTGCAGTCTTAAGTTAGATAAGGCAAATAAAAGGGGACTAAGCAATGGCTTGTCTATATGAGCAATCTTGCCTGGCAAGCTGGTATGTAAAGCTGAAATGTGTTAACTTTTTGGGCAGCAAATTGCCATATAGACAAGCCTGGAGTTTAGTTTTTGGGAAGATTAAGCTTGCGATGTCACAGAGCCACCAAGACAGGTAAAAAAGGGGGAGGTTGGGAGGTAGTTAGTAGACTGGAAGCAACTGAAATCTGAGAATGCTGAGGAACATCAGTGGAGAAGGAAAGAAGAGTTGAAGCCATTACAAATGATGTGGAAAGAATGAACTCTCCCAGTTTCCTTCCACCTGCTAACCAGATTCCCAGGAACCAGGAAAGAACAGAAAAGGAGAAATGTGATCCACACACAGATCAAAAGATTAGAGCACAGAGATGTGACCCTTAGATTTAGCTTGGAGGTCCCTTCTGCTTTTTGTGAGGGCAGCTGTGCTGGGTTGGAGAGGGCAGAAACCAGACTGGAGAGAGGTCAATCCCAGCCCAAAGAACAGAGCTCACCCCTCATGGAAGGGTGGAGAACGTTCCCACTCCAATGGGAGAAATGGAAAATCCTGCATAGTGACCAGTTCGTTCAGATCCATCTCAGAAGTGTTTGACTACTTCCTGGTCCACTTGAGAGACCGCAACTACTTACCTTTTGCTCTGACATTTGTAACTACAACAAAATTTCCCATCAAACATGCAGTTACTCTGCAGGTGATAGAATAAGATGGAGAGAAACTTTTATCCCCAACTAGAACAAACAGTTTCCCTTCATTTAAAAAATAAGAGGGGGTAGAAATGAGGCGCTCATTACAGAGTCTCTATTGGAAGGCGGACCCTGAAGGGTTCTCTGTGCGACTATAATAAACTGATTGAAGTTACGGTTTAAACACTCTGTTCTCAGTGCTGTTGATTGCAGTGTGCATGAGCGGACGGATGCCTCTGAGAACATTTTGCTGTGTTCTTCCTCTGTTGCAGCTTTTAGTACATCCTGGACAGTTACACAGTGCAGCCTGCTTTCTTGCTTTTTGGAAAGCCAGGTTCTCTCATGCTGATGAGTGTTCAGAAAGGAAAATTGCGCTGAAGATAAACCGAAGGATGGAAATGTTCTTCTCTTACGTGCTCTGCTGGATTGAGTCCTCTGCTCCTTTTGCATTCTACTCCTTAGAGTTTGATTTTTCTCAGAGGTCTTTAAACTCTGTTCTGAAATATGTCTCCACAATAAAAGTGAGTCTCAGAGTCCAGGCCAGCTGGCTTGGGTCTGCAGGCCTGATGCTGTGAGGTTGAAACATTACAGTCTAGACCTTCAGGCTTGGGCTAGAGCCTGGGCTCTGAAACCCAGTGAGGAGGGGAGGGTGGCTTCTGGCTACGTCTCTTCTGCCTTTGGACACTCCCGGCTGGCCCGTGGCCGCTCGCTGGGCTCGGCTAAAGGCTGCTTAATTGCAGAACAGATACTCCAGCTTGGGCTGCACGCTGAGCTCTGCGGCTCTCCCACCTCGCAGGATGTGAGAGCCTGGGCTCCAGCCAGCGTGTGAGCGACTGCGGTGCTGTTTCAGAATGAGCCCAGGGTGCTCCGCTGTGGCTCAGAACTGAGCAGCCAAAGTGGATGTGTAGCCCACTCCTGGGGCAGGGGAATTACTGCTCATCCCATTTTATAGAAGTTCCTGGTAGCTGTGACGGGCTGGGCTAGGCCCCAACACGCCCTACAGGAGGCTAGCGGCCTTGCTGCACCCCATCCCAACAGGAGGAGCGGGGAAGAGCCAGGTACTGTAGAGTGGCTGTGTCTGCAGCAGCCAATCAGGACCTAGCAGAGGGGTATAAAAGAAACTGCAGGGCTGGGGCTTGACAGTTCCCTTCAGGAGCTCGACCCAGCCAGGTCTAGACCCTGACTGGGAATCAGCACTATGGCCAGCTCCCAGTGTGAGCTGAACCTAGATCTGGGTAAGACCCAGAGCCAGTGGCCAAAGACCAGCCACAAGCAGAGACTTAGTAGCACCATGGACAGGGCTAGTCAGGCCCTCATTCCAGGACTTAGAGGGCGACCAGACAACCAGGCAAGGACCCTGCCCAGCGCCACTTGGCCGCAGTGGGGCGCTCACCAGCGGGTGGACCCATTACAGTAGGTCTTTATTGAATAGAATTATTTTTATCCAGCAACTAATTTTCTCCACTCGTTTGGTTTAGGATCTGGTGGCAAATACAGCTGGTAGCAGCTTAGGGGCCAGTACCTTTAAAAAACAGAGTGTTTACTTTTCTGTGAAAGTTGCGTGGGAGTAGATGAAAAGCAGAATAATTTCATTGGGTAGGAGCAGGCCTTAGAGGCTGGCTTTAAATGACTTATATAAAGGAGGGACCTTGAGCCCTGTGTGATTTGTGTAAAAACTCCAGAAAGTCTAACTCTGTGGTGGGCTAATACCAGCCCGCAGGTGGATCCTGATAACCCTGGTGGGCAGCCAGTGCTGTGTGTTACCTGTGCCTCTGCAGTATGGGCGATTGCAGCTCCTGTTGGCCATGAATTGCCGTTCCCAGCCAATGGGAGTTGCAGGAAGTGGTGTCCCAGTCTATGCTGCTTCCTGCAGCTCCCATTGGCTAGGAATGGTGATCCATGGCTAACGGGAGCTGCAAGTGCTGGACCTGCGGAGGTGCAGGTAGATGCAGCAGCAGCCTGTGGCAAACCGCTGCCATCTTATTGTCCACCCTACTCTAGCTTGTTCAGTTTTGGCTGCTAGGAAATGTTTTCTCTTTGTTTTTCTTGTAACTGTTTCTGACTTTAATGCCTTATACCTGTCCTCTGTTGAGCCCTGTCTCTTGCTAGTTAAAGAAACTTGTTTTGAATTCATTTAGAGTAAAAATCAGTGTTGTTTAAACTGAACAGTTTGGTAACTCCCATTACTGTAGCAAACTGTTGAACATTGACCCTTGACAGAACAGCCCAGGCGAGGGCTGTATGGTGCAGAACACACCTACATGAGGAAGATGCATGAATGGGAGCATTGGGTTCCTCCTGCAGGTAGTAACCAAGGCCAGAGTGGGGTTGGAGTGTTGCTGACAGGCTACTGGGGTCAGAGTTGCTGGACCAGGGCTGCAGCTACACACACATGTGGGGTGACCTGCACACTGGCAGGCTGTTTGTGAGTGGCCTGAGTTGGGAGCTACAACAGCAAAGCATTGTGTGGCAAAGGTGGTGACACAATCTCCCACTGGTCTGCAGTGCACTCCAAAACATGACCGAGCAGCACGTATTACTAGAACTTCCAAAAGACCTTTTCTCCACCTCTTTGGAGAGCTGGGGTATCTGCTGACGTGAATTCTGAAGCCTGGCTTTCTCTGGAACCTTACAGCATCAGGAAACCAGCAGCTGGATCTGTGTGATGAGCTATTCTGTGGGATTTCTCATTTCTCAGACCCCCTTTCTAGCCAATGGAGTTGACCCTATGAAACACTGTTGAGCATCCTGACCTCTTACCTCCCTGTTGGCCAATTCGTAGCACGTAGAAGCATTTTCTAAGGAACGAGCACTGCAGTGTCGTTAGGAAGAACTGAGGCAAGTGGACAGTGGTACAAGAGGGAGCAAAGAGTAAAGAAGTTTCTCTAATTCTTTTTCAATAGGGTCACCCTGCTCCATATAAAACCGTTTCAGCCCGAGCAGGGACACCATCCACTATATTGCGACTTCCAGCTAGTATTTTCCAGGATGTCTTCCAGAAGTACCCCGAAACTCTTGTCAGAGTGGTACAGGTAAGGCTGATGTTAAGGTTAAACGTGTAACCAGGCCTGGACGTGTAACAAAAACCATTTCTTCTAGCTCTGACAGGTACATTTAGTTTCATTCTACACAACCCTGGTGGAATGCAGTTCCACACGCAGGGCCAGGCGAAATGGCAGGGCCTCAATGTGCAGATGTGGGGAGGAAGGGTTTAGATTTATTAGGAACTGGGGAAACTGTAGGGGAAGGGGGAGCCTGAGCAGGAAAGATGGGCCAAAAGGGAATCAGGCTGCTGGCACTTAAAATGAAATAGGCCATAGAGCAATTTTTAATGTAAAGGCTGGGGGAAGCCAGTGGGTGCGGAGGAGCATGTGGATCGGATAAGGCCGGTAGTTAGCAAGAGGGATGTACAATCCTGTTCAATTTGCTAACAAGTTACATGCTGCATTTAACTGATTAAACAGGGGCAGGCTGGAGCAGCACCCCCCACACACTGCAGGTAGGGGCTGCTTCCAGACCTACGCAGGACTGCCAGCCCCCAGCCTGCACCAGGCCAGAAGTGGCAGCCCCACACATCTTCCCTCTGCTCCAGCCTCACTCCCCTCAGCCCCATGATCCCCCAGCCTGATCCCCTGCATCGCCAAGAGCTAGTCCATCTGGTGCAAAGTCCTTCTCCTTGGCATATTCCCAGAGCTTTGTCCAATATGCAAGTGTCCTAAGAGGTGGGGTTGCCACCTGAGGCAATTACCGTATTTTCCGGCGTATAGGGCTTTCAAAGCCGCGGAGGGGCTCCGGCGGGGGGGCAGCCCATGTGCGCCTGGGATGCCCCGCCGCCGGCTTCCCCCGAGGCTTTCAAAGCCGCGGAGGGGCTCCGGCGGGGGGGCAGCCCATGTGCGCCTGGGATGCCCCGCCGCCGGCTTCCCCCGAGGCTTTCAAAGCCGCGGAGGGGCTCCGGCGGGGGGGCAGCCCATGTGCGCCTGGGATGCCCCGCCGCCGGAGCCCCTCCGCCGCTTTGAAAGCCTCGGGGGAAGCCGGCGGCGGGGCATCCGGCGTACAAGACGACCCCCGATTTTTGGGGGATGTTTTTTAACATCAGAGGTCGTCTTGTACGCCGGAATATACGGTATCTCACAGTCTGATTGATCTTTACATTAGGCAGAAATGAGGGAAACATTTTCTGACTCTCAGCTTAATTGCATCACATTATACTCTCCTGTGGACCAACCTGCTGAAATTTACTTCCTCCTTGAGGCCAGGAATTTAGCTGCATTCAGAAATCTGCAGCTCTGTCAAGTTGCCTTTGCTCAAGAGATGAGATGAGAATTTGGGCCTAAATATTTACTTATCAGACATCTGCAAACTCTGAACTGCTGTGAAATAAATTCTGATCTTTGCTCTTGAGTAATGGTGACCGTAACTCATTTGGGCTATTGTTACACTTTTACTGGACTCTTATGAGTAACTTTTCCCTGGAAAAGAATGCCTTGAATGTGTGCTGGGCAAAGAACAGCAGAGGTGCATACAACAGCGATGAAGACCGCTTATTGGTGCACACTTGCAAGACACAAAGCCTCTTTCCTTAGCACCGGTAATGGGTCATTCCCCTGCTACTCCCAATACTCTTGTCCTTGTCTGTAGATCTTTAAAAAATGGGGGCCTAAAATTAAGCTTCTGAGCCCTTATTTAGTACCTAGAGGAGTAACCTGCTTTTCAGAAGTCCTGACTTGGCTGGGAGTAGCTGGTGCTCGGCACTTCTGAAAATCAGGTTTTTTCCCTCCCTGTTGGCATAGACATAGCTCAGCCTCTTGGTATAGTAAGCAGCCTTCTCCATGTGCCAGACCAGATGCTGGGAGACAGAGAGAGGTGGGGAAGGAAAGCAGAGTCTAGTTAGAGGAGAGTGACAAAGGGGAGGTGCCAACTGAGACCTGATTGCTTGTAGATTTGGGGTCACATGCTCTTATGAAGGGTGTTTATGACGTTCTAATATAGAACATGAACCCTTAAATATCATCATTACTTGCTTAGGGCCTCCAGTGTATAGACCCTTTACAGCTCTTGCAAGAGCCTCCAAAGCTGGCACACCTGACCCAACTTTCCCCTTGAGAGGGGAATTTTATTAAAACACCCCTTCCCCCCCAACCAAACCAAACAGCCCAAGGCTCTGTGGCCCAGGGATTACTTAGAACTTTGAGTTCCAACCTTCCTAAAGCCTTGGAAAAATGGTGTCATGGAAACACTCCCCTCCTTCGTGGGGGGCTGGGGACATTCTCACTTCCTCGTAATAGGGGAAAGCAGGCGTCGGGCACCATTCCCCTCTCTTCTTTTGGAGCCATTCAGTGTTCTGCGTGTAATGACACCCCCTTCTCCGTGTTTGTGGCTTTATGGCTCCTGCTTTAAATTAGAGCTTCTCACCCGCCATTTGTCTGAGAGGGGTGCCGGCTGATCCAGCTGACAAAGCTCAGATTGGCCTGTAAATGTGTGCTGCACAGAGCAGTGACTCACTGCCTTCCTCTCGCTTGCCAGCACCCGCAGAAGGAAGGTGGGTTGTGTTGAAGTTCAGTTCTCTTTAAGTCAAGCTTGCAAGTTCCCACAAGGCTATAAAGGGAAAACATTCCTAGCTTATTGCTGGAAACAGGTTTCTTCTGAATGACACTTTCTGCAAAGAGAAGTTATTCTGTGTGAATGGCTTCAGCGTAGAGAGCTTGCCCTGGCAATTGTCTGACAAATTAATGGTCAAAATTGATGGCTGTGTGTTAGCAGGCTTTTTATAATGATCTTGTGTCCTCCACCATGGGCGTAGCTGGTCAGCTGCCCTCCTGTTCCTCATGAGGCCTGGATAATCTGTGTGTCTAGGTGGTCTGCGACCGATGCATGGACCCTCCCCCAGCCCCTTCATCGACTGTCAAGGACAATAGATCCTTGTATCCCACCACCCCGCTGGGAGAGCCTCCTTGGCAAGGGCCCAGCATTTTGACCGTTGGTTGTCAACCCCCCTAGAACTCCTGGGGCATTTGTAGGGACTGCGTCCTGTTCCCTTCCCTGCTAGCTCTGCCAGTGTCTTGGCTTGATGACCTATGGGATCATGCTGTGAGACCAACCCTTTCTCCCAGGTGCTTTCTGGAAAGAGTAGGGAGGAGCGGGGCAGCCATGAAGACCATTTCAGGTGCATATGTTTGCTGGGGAGGTTAGTTTTTTAGTGTCTGTCACAGGTCTTGCAACCTTGAGCTCAGGGAGGCCAAGCAGGGAGAACTGGAATAAACACCTTCATTTCAGACTCTTCAATGTTAGTGACTCCAGTGACGAGCTCAGCAAGGCTGGTGTCTTGTGTGTGGCGCTGCAGTTTGGGTGTCGAGTCTCTTGGGCAGTGTCTCTGGCTCAGCCGCCTGGTGAGATGCACGTTTCCAGTCTCACCGCGCTCTCCAGCTGTGGGGAGAGGTGCTCCGAGCGTCACAGCATAATGAACAGGGGAGAGTCTGCTTAGCAGGAGGAGTGGGCACAAGCTGTAGGACCATTCAGTGGAGAGTGGCCTGTAACCGCCGATGCAGTCCCAAGACAAAAAGAGTTTGCGTGTCTGGTATCCGCCTGCTGCCTGTGCTTGTTCTCCCACTCCTAGATCATCATGGTGAGGCTCCAGAGAGTGACATTCTTGGCTTTGCACAACTATCTCGGCCTGACCATCGAGCTCTTCAATTCAGTAAGTGAAGAATGACGGTAATTCACTCTGATCACACTGTATGTCCGGGCTCGTGCACGCTGGCTGGGCGGTGTCTTCTACTCGCAAGCATGATTTCAGCAGAAAGATGATGTTAACTTCTTTGTTTACAACAACATTAATACCACTGTGCTTCAGAGTGAAGCTTCTGAGCTATAGAATTTGGTTGTTGCTGAAGCCTGGTGACTGGCATTTCATTTGGTATGGAGACTGTTACGTTTAAATCTGAATGTTCACAGTGTTGTAACTGCAGGGGCTATGGAGGGTCACAGGGTAGTGAGGTTGTGGTATTGCCCACCCTTACGTCTGTGCTGCCTTCAGAGCTGGGCACTGGCCAGCTGCTGCCATTCTCCAGCCAGCCAGCTCTGAAGGCAGCACTGAGTCTTTCCCCCCTCCCAAACCTGCAACACTCTCCTCCATAGCCCCCTTTGGGGTTGCACTCCCAGTTTGAGAGATGCCAGTCTCCCCTGTGAAATCTGTATAGTACAGGGTAAAAGTATATGAAATACATTTCCCAGGAGAGACCGCTGTTTCCATGGCTTTGAATTGGGTAGGGCCCTAGCAATGTGTAGTGACAGCTTTGTCGGAGCTTCAACTGTGTGTCCACTCCCTGCTGTGTCACACCAGCAAACTCCTCAAGCCACTGCCAGTCTTAACCTGGCCTTGCAGATAACATTCAGCAGACCTGGTTCCCCCACAGGCCTCTCTGCAGTGGCCAGTGCCTCTCACTGGACACCCACAGGAAGTATGAAGTCTGCTGTATCCAAAGAACCTGTGCACCCAGCTGCTGGTTGGCTCTCAGTGGGCTTACTCTGTAACTTACTACACAGCCCTGAGGTGGGTTATAGTGGAACTAAGCATAAGTTTCTTAATAAAGGACAGAGATGTAACTGATACTAATCGAGAGGAAAAGATGAATGGTTACAAACAAAACAAGAAGGGAAACTGCTTTCACATGTCTAAAAACTTCACCGATCACAGGCTGCTCTCAGGCAGTGTCTCACCTACAGACACTTCTCCGCGTCTTCAGCCCACATGACAGAAGATCGATCTTGTATTGATGACGAGCACAGATCTCTCTTGTCCAGGGGAAATGATGATTAGTGTAGAGGCTCTCTCTCCTTCTTCTAGTCCAATACGCCTGGGAGATGTACTTTTATGAAGAGTATTTCCAGCTGAAGTTTTTCTCCCTAGCTGCGCGCATCCTGTAACGATAGCCATGGCCAATGTGTCATCAGTACATGTACGATGCCTTGAAAGAGGCTGCCTGGCTACATACTCTGCCATCGGTGTGTTGTGTTTGCCTTTTGCTAGCTGTCTAAAAGTGGCTCCCCTGCTCCTGGACTGGCTTTGGTCTACGGTGCTTGCTCTGAAGTACGCTACTGAGTTTTGCTTGCTGATGCTGTTACTGTGCTTGCCCTGCAGATTGAATTGCTCTTGGGCACATGCTGCTCTTCCTTTGGGAGCCTGTGACTGTGGAATATAGTAACAAACAGCCTGACAGTAGCAGGGAGCTGTGGGCCTGCATTTCTGGTATCATTAGGCAGGGGAACCACGCTAAGACGCAGGGTAAAGGAACAGTTACTCCCCATTTCTGGTGTCAGAGTTTCTGACACGTGGCTGGAAGGGGATCCCAAAACCATCCCATTGTCTGCGCTTGGGACTCCTGGTCTCTTGCTCTCTGTTTGTGACGAGAAATGGGCATACCTCTAATAGAAATGCCTTTAACAGGCAGTCGCTGTGAAGAGTAAACGCGTGCAAAAAGAACGGCGCACAAAGCTAAGCTGAATCTGTGTGGCCAGGCAAGTGACTTTGGGGGGCTCCATTCTTCATCTGTCCTTGCCCAGTTAGCAGTTGTTGATCCTGCAGAGTAACGTCGAATAGTACTCTGCTATTTGTCTCTGTACTTTGTTTGTTTTTTCCATAGCAGATTTGTGTTAAGTGCTAACATCACAGTGCTCTTCCTGCCTCTTCCATTATCTTTGCCATCCACAGCAAAGATGAAATAATTAGAAGTTAGCTGACAGTTTTGTTTGCATGAGTTAGAATCTCTCTCTCCTAAATTCAGTGGCTCTGCAAAGTTAATGTTACCTCCACAAGTTTAGACTAACCTGTTTCACACAGCGAGCTCACTCTAATTTTAGTTTGTCTTGCCTACTGGGTCCTGATTAGCTTTGGCCTAGTCAAGCTCTGCTCCTGGTCAACAAGAACCAAATCGTGTTGGTTTTACCTATCCTTGATCTTGATGGCTTCTCTAGGCAGTCTGTGTAGGTCTAAACATTTTTATTTCCAAAGATCACCACATTTGGCTTAGGGATGTTAATCATAGAATACTAGGACTGGAAGGGACCTCGAGAGGTCATCGAGTCCAGTCCCCTGCCCTTATGGCAGGACCAAATACTGTCTAGACCATCCCTGATAGACATTTATCTAACCACTCTTAAAACTCTCCAGAGATGGGGAGTCCACAGCCTCCCTCGGCAATTTATCCCAGTGTGTGACCACCCTGACATTTAGGAACTTTTTCCTAATGTCCAACCTAAACCTCCCTTGCTGCAGTTTAAGCCCATTCCTTCTTGTTCTATCCTCAGAGGCCAAGATGAACAAGTTTTCTCCCTTCTCCTTATGACACCCTTTTAGGTATCTGAGAACTGCTATCATATCCCCCCTCAATCTTCTCTTTTCTAAACTAAACAAACCCAATTCCTTCAGCCTTCCCTCATAGGTTATGTTCTCTAGACCTTTAATCATTCTCGTTGCTCTTCTCTGGACCCTCTTCAATTTTTCCACATCTTTCTTGAAATGCGGTGCCCAGAACTGGACACAATACTCCAATTGAGGCCTAACCAGCGCAGAGTAGAGCGGAAGAATGACTTCTCGTATCTTGCCCACAACACACCTGTTAATGCATCCCAGAATCATGTTTGCTTTCTTTGCAACGGCATCACAGTGCTGACTCATATTTAACTTGTGGTGCACTATAACCCTTAGATCCCTTTCTGCAGTACTCCTTCCCAGACCATCGCTTCCCATTCTGTATGTGTGAAACTGATTGTTCCTTCCTAAGTGGAGCACTTTGCATTTGTCTTTATTAAACTTCATCCTATTTATCTCAGACCATTTCTCCAATTTGTCCAGGTCATTTTGAATTATAACCCTATCTTCCAGATTAGTCGCAATCCCTCCCAGCTTGGTATCATCTGCAAGCTTAATAAGCGCACTTTCTATACCAATATCTAAATCATTGATGAAGATATTGAACAGAGCCGGTCCCAAAACAGACCCCTGCGGAACCCCACTCGTTATGCCTTTCCAGCAGGATTGTGAACCATTAGTAACTACTCTCTGAGTACGGTTATCCAGCCAGTTATGAACCCACCTCATAGAAGCCCCATCTAGGTTGTATTTCCCTAGTTTATTGATAAGAATCTCATGCGAGACCGTATCAAACTCCTTACTAAAGTCTAGGTATACCACATCCACCGCTCCTCCCTTATCCACAAGACTCGTTATCCTATTAAAGAAAGCTATCAGGTTGATTTGACATGATTTGTTCTTTACAAATCCATGTTGGCTGTTCCCTATCACCTTGCCACTTTCCAGATGATTTCCTTAATTACTTGCTCCATTATCTTCCCTGGCACAGAAGTTTAACTAACTGGTCTGTAGTTTCCTGGGTTGTTCTTATTTCCCTTTTTATAGATGGGCACTAGATTTGCCCTTTTCCAGTTCTCTGGAATCTCTCCTGTCTCCCATGATTTTCCAAAGATGATAGCTAGAGGCTCAGATACCTCCTCTATCAGCTCCTTGATCAAGATGAACTACTGTTTAACAGAAATAGTTAAATTTTGAGTAATTGACTAATTGAATAGTAGATGCCTTTGCTGGTCAGATAGTCAACTAGTCGTTCACATCCCTAGTTTGGATAGGGCATGCCAAGATGATAGGGCCTCCAGCAAGGGGCATCAGCTGCCTGGCACACCCCATCCAAGAAAGTGCAGTGCAAATATATTGTGTGTGAGGTGAGACTGAGAGGTTTAAAAAAGAATAGATGTTCTGTGGGTTGCAGATTACCTAGATGTTTCTACACAAAGACTACACTGAGAGGCTGGAGAGCCCAAAGAGACTGCAGTTATCTTACCCTGTTTACAGATCCAAACATATAATCTGCTCCAGCTGGAGCACCACAAGACACAGGAAATGGTGAGCACATGTGTATTTGTGTAATCTTTGTTCCCTCAGGAGAGCCAAGCCATCCCCTTGATATCTGTGGCAAGTGTAACATCTGGGGGGAGCTCAAACAAGGAAGTGAAAAGACAGCAGTCAAACGTATCGGAGGAGGAGCGGGGAGAAAAGTTGGAGAAAGCAGGCGATGCCTCAGAACCAGGTAACGTTTGTATTCATGTGTACAGTGTGCCCGTGGCGCTACACGAGCAGCACGCTTGTTTGTGGTAGGTAGACGGTAAATGTATTTACATCTCTGATCCAGATCCCGAGTCTTTGGCAAACCCTACACTTCCTTAAGAACCAATAGTTCATCTTGATTTAATATCTTGAAAGAAAAACCAAATCCAATTTTTTAAAAAATTTAAGGTTAGAGAAAATACTATTTTTCAGGAGCTCTCTCTGCCCGTGGTGGGTCTGGTGATGGGCTGGAGCAGCTCCTGCCTGCTGTAGGAGGCTGCTCCAGCCTGGCCATGGCTGGAGGTGGTGGGGAAGCACTCAAGCCCCGCTGGACTGGAGAGGCCCCCCCTTACTGTGTTAACCCATTAAACCTCACTTTTAACTGGGATTTTACATCCCTAGTGTGTGCGTTGTGTTTGAGAGCAGGTGGGCAAAGGCTCTTGCTCACAGTGCACTTTGTTTTGTCGGGGTGCACTAAATTATTAAATCTGTGATCCCCCATTATTCTGTGTCAGACGCGGAGAAGACTTCAGGTACAGAGAGTTCTGAGAACCTTCCTAGAAGAAGATGTTCTGTGACAGCCTCTTCTGGATCAGCAGAGAGTCCGGGTGAGTTGGGGCTGGTGAAAATTGCAGGAAATAGAAAATATCTAAGGATAATGGAAGGGGATGATGTAAGATAATTAACTCTGCTTAATTCCACTCTCTTATTGATCTGAAACAACACTCTGAGGCTTGTCTGCAGAGGAAATAAGAACTCTTCTCTCAGAGAGCACCCACTGTCATGTTCTCTTGGCTTGGTGTTTACCTGCTGCATTACAGGATCGAGTGATGGGAAAGAGAGGCTAAGTCCTGGCTTAACAAAGCCCTGGCTGGGATGGTTTAGTCAGGGCTGGTCCTGCTTTGGGCAGGGGGCTGGACCCGATGGCCCCTGAGGTCTCTTCCAGCCCTGGGAGTTTGATTCTATGAGAATATTTCAAAGCATGTTGTGCTGTACCTGGGTTCATTTCCTTGTGTGTCTGTCATAGTTTGCTCCTCATTGTGCTCTGTACAGTATACGATCAAAATGAAGTTCTGTGGCAAATCAAAAGAATACTTTCCTGCATGTCAAAAGGCAGCATTTCTCTTGTGCAAAACCTTAGGCCAGTGAGAGCTATCCCTCTAGCCCTGCAGCCAGTATTATTGCCCTGACGTTGAAGGGATGCAAAGAAAAGGGAAACCTAGGCTTGGAAAACGATCTTTGGCTGGATATGAGTGAGGCAAGACTATCTTTATGAAGGCCAGAGCAAAGGGCTTTGCTGTAATCGAGATGAGGAGGGCCAGGCGAGCGTTTAGTGGTGTAGATGGATAGAAAAGGCTGATGTCATGCAGATTCTTTCTGTGTAACAAGACATCAACATAGCCTGGACGTGAAGGTCCCGGGCGAGAGCGAGAAAGAGAGAACACGAACTCCCCCTCCTTTTAAACATAAAGGGTGTGTCTAGACTACAGGGTTTTTTCGACAAAAGGGGGCCTTTGTCAACAAAACTATACCTGCGTCTACACTACCACCGAGTTCTGTTGACATAATGTCGACAGAACTCGGCAGTTTTGTCGACGGTGGTAAACCTCATTCTACGAGGAATAACGCCTTTTGTCGACAGAGCTCTGTGGACAGAAGGCTTTATTGCATCTACTCTGTCCTTTGCGTCTACACTCTGATGTCGACAAAGTGGCTTGCTTTGTCGACAGAACTGGATGTAGTCTAGATGCTCTTTGTCGGCAGAAGCTTTGTCGACAGTATCTGTCCACAAAGTCTCTGTCGACAAAAGCCTGTAGTCTAGACATACCCAAAGAGCGGTGTTTGTCATATTGGGCTGGAGCTATGGAGGCATGAGGAAATGGGCAAGACAAATGGGGACCTTAATTTGGACAGGAGGAGGCAGTTCTGGAGTGGCCAGGTCGATCTGTGGGACATTAGCGTAAAAGATGGTTGTTGAATTTGTTTGGGGATGAAATTATCCGGAGACAAGTCGTAGAGGGAGAAGGGAAGAGGATCAGAGAGAGTCCTATGGAACCCCCACCGAAAGCTGGAAGAGCCTCTGAAGTGTCTGTTGAGGAGCCATTAGAGAGGTAGGAGGAGAATCGAGAGAAGATGAGTCCCAGAAGCCAAGGGAGGGCAGGATGTCAAGGGCAGGAGCATTGCTGATCGTGTCTGTGGCGTCTGAAAGGTCGTGGAGGATGAGGATGGAGTGCTGGTTCTTGCAGTTGGCTGAGGTCATTGGAGACTGAGTGGTTTCAATTGAGGGCAGGGACAGAAGCCTGTTTAGAAAGGATCTGGGTTGGAAATGGAGAAGAGGGACTCCAGCCAGTAACTGAAAACCTAGTGAGGAGGGATGCAGTACGTGGAGTTGCTCTCTGCTCGCAGTGTCGAGCCTACTCCCATTGCTTTACTTGTGCAGAAAGTGCCAGGAGATGTTTTAATACTGACAAGACCTTGGTTTTATGTTTTATTCCAGCTGTGTATTGACCACTCCGAGCACATTGGGTCGTGTTGCTCGAGCCTGTTAGATGACCACTCTCACACAAAGGGTTTCTCACCACGCTGTATCTTACTTGGCTGGTGAGAGCTGACAGTGTCTCACCAATCTGTGGGGAACATTTTAGAAGAAAAACCGTTTTTCATTCTGCCTCCCCAGTTCTCTGTATTTCTGGGTGCAGAGCATACTCTGTACTCCCACTTCTCAAATTCGAGCATGTGCAGAGAAAGTAGTAAAATGGATTGAAGCCTCTATCGCACCCCCCTATCTTCAGAGTGCATTAATCCAGATTTTCTGTATGACATGTTTGCCTGTCTTGTCCTTTAATCCTCTCCGGGGGACAGGAAACAAACTGTGTGTTGCGTAAATGTGCCAAATTCTTATGCACAGAAGTGCAGTTCTGTTGACTGGATGAGGCTGCATGGTTGTGAGTGCTGACTTTGCTCTGGTGAATAAGTGTTCAGGAAGGGACAGGCAGTGAGAGATTGTCAGATCCCTGGCACTTACACAGGGACTTCGGTACCAACAGAGAGCAAGTAGTCACACCGCAGGTTAGACGGCTGCTCAGTCGCCTGTGTCCGTCTGTTCCTTTGCTGTAAGATTTGGAGCTAGGGAACAGTGGCTCGTGCCATTCTTTCTGATCCGCATGTGGGCAGCAAGGGTTAAGGGGGGAGTTCCCAGGCATAAACAGGGGCAGGGAGAAGACCTCGCTTTAGGAATTCTAGCAGAGTAGTGATTTCATCCATGGGCTGCCTTTTCTTTGTGCTCTGTGGTTTTAATAGAGCCAAGTGGCTGCATGCTAAGATGTGCCACTTTGCTGGATTCCTTTTTTAGGTCTTGTCTGGCAAAGGATGTAGGTACATGCTTAGCTTTACGCATGAGCTTAAATGCTTTGCTGGATCTCAGAGCCTTAATGCAAGAAGCTCAGCTGGTGGCATAATACGTGACCATGTTCTCTTGTTAGGGGCTGCTTCTAAGGCTCTTACAGAAGCTTTGCTGGAGTGCCTGTTTCTGGGGCAGCTAGTACAGGTTGAACCTCTCTAGTCTGGCACATTTTGGTCCAGCAACATCCCTGGTCTGGCATGATTTTAATTAGCTGGAGGTCCACTTACCATGGGTCTGGCCAAGTTTCCCGCAGTCCCATAAAGTTCACAGCCACCAGTCCTGGCTCTGAGATCTGTGCTGTTATTTAGCTCTGATTGACCCCTCCGTGTCCTCCAAGAACTCAGTAAGCAGGGGAAGTGTTGTAAAGCTGCTGGGCAATTCTGACTCTTGTGGCTTGGCAGATTCTCTGCTTTGGCACCGGTCAATGTGCACCCGTCTTTCATGGGGACTGGGAACTGAATAGCTTTGTGCCCCCATTGGAGCTTAATGGCTTCCAGAGCTGCCAGGGTTGCTTGTTGCTAGAGGCAGTGTGAAAGGGACGGAGAAGCTGTGCAGAGAGTAAGGGGAGTCAACCCAGGCGCCTGCCTTGGCTGGTCCTGATGTCTCCAGATGAGGGAGACCATGACCACCTTGGGGGCAGTCTGAGCTGTGACCTAGATCTTCACCTTTATGAATGAACCAATTCTGTTTCAAAAGGCAATGACGTTCTCTCCACATGCCAGTCTTTGGTGGCTGCTCTGCAGGTCGCTGTAGTTCTGTTGTGGAGCCGCAGTCTGCGTAGGATGGCTTGAACCAGTTGGCTGGCGAGAGGACGCTGCTCTAGAAAGGCAAAGTTGACAGAGAGAACAAAGTTAATGATGTTTTCCTTGTCTTGCTGTCTGCGAAGCTGACCCACAGCAGCTCTTCTGGATTTCCAGAGGCTGCAGGATGAGCCAGCCACATTGCAACCCCAGGCTACATTTTCTTTGCTTTCTGTGCAATTCTTAACTTTAGGAACAACCACAGCAGCCAACGAGTGGCCTGTGGAAGTCGGTGGGCTGAGCCGTCCTTGAGAAGACGAACCAAGAGGTGCCATAGTGAGCGCTTTGCAACCCCCTTTTTCCTTGCTTGCAGGGGTCTCCAGTGGCACGAAGTCAGACTTGGACATGGCATACGAGAGAGCGAGGGTGCATTTCAAGGAAGATGAAGCTCCGACCAGCCCTGTTGTGAGCAAGGTAGATACTCTCTGCATGAGGTTGGAGATGCACTTCCCTCTTTCCCCATCTTTCGGCTCTTCCTTTGCATTGTGCCTACTGATTGCATGGTCACGCAAAATGTTTTGCCACCAGGCACTTAACTATCTGCTGCTGGAGGTCTGGCCCTCTCGTGGGCAGCAGAGCAATAGGCCAGGGAGGTTCTGTGTCCTCTCGCCCTGGTTCCTCTGCCTCTGCTGTAGTTGCTGGGCCCCCAGCTGCAGAGTTTGGGGGGACAAGTTGTACTTTATGCTGTCCCATGTCGCTTCTGGGGCAGCCGAGGGGGCGGAATGTACAGGACTCCAAAGAGCTTTATTGAGGAGCCCTGGAAGCGAAGTAGCCAATATCGCCTTCCAGGCTGCCCTGGAACCTCCCTGGGATGGCCTGGGCTCGGGCTCGGGCGGGGAGGTGCTGCGCAGCTGGCCAGGTGTTGGTGGGGACCCTTGGGACTTTGGCTGGCCCGGGGCTCCTTTGGGCAGGGGGCTGCTTGTGGCTTTGTGGGGGAAGGGCTTCAGGGCTCTGACTGAGCAAGGGGTTTGCTCGGGCCTGTGACCATGCGGGGCTGCTCTTACTGGAGTCTTGGGGTTCCTCCGGGCAAGGGGAAAATGGGGCATGGGGTCTTGGGGCTCTGGCTTTGGAGAGGGGGACACAGCAGGAAGGGGTGGAGCAGAGGGCTAGCTTCCCCCAGGGGAGCGCCGCCCCCTGTCCATGGGCCCTCTCCACATCAGAGTCCAGTCGTCTTGTAAAACCAAATGTTTGCAGAGGAGTCATCTTGTGTAAGTGTGTTTACAACTTGTAATTACACAAAAGAGTTTAATGGCTCTCTTGGCTCATTAGTCCCCACAAGGAATCTTAATCCCATGCCTCACTACAAAGTCCTTGTGAGACTGCTTGAAGTAGTAATAGTGCCTATGCTGTAGCGGCTTTAGCTTGGATGTTGCCTGAATATCAAAAGACATCGAGCTAATGGACAAATCTTTTGCCAGGTCAAGTTTGAGCTGTCAGAACTGGCTTATAGCCACAGATGTTCAAAAGCCATATCCAGCCTATTAGATTTCAACTGAGTTTTCAGTCCCAGGGACCAATGTCCCCTCTAATCTTTTCCATCCGTGTATGGATTTTTCCCATCCATGTGTGGAATAATTGTATATGCACTGAAGCATGTGTGAATGTGCACCACCAGTAGAAACAAAACAGAAAACCTAGCTGTGCACACTCCGCTAATCAGCTGGGTGCCACTGGAATCTCCCCTGTGTGGCCATGCACACAAACAGCTTCCAGGGAACACTGCTGTGGACTCATAAAAGGTGCTCACCTGCTTTTCTGTTTCCAAAACTTGTCTGCTTTGAACTTTTTGAAAAGCCCAGGTGAGAGTATGAGCTACAGGTTTGAAATCAAGGCAAGAGTTTACAGCTGACTAATTACACATCTCTGCAAATAATGAATATGCAAGTATGCAAATAAATGTGATCAATCCGCCAAAAGCCCCGGCCCCAGAGGGCCCCCCCCATTACCCCTCAGTGCCAGCCACTGACCCCGGAGTTCCCCTGTGCCCAACCCCCCCCCCCCCCGTGCCAGCCCCCGCAGTGCCAGCCTCTGTTTCCAGAGCCCCACTGCACCCAAGCCCTCCCCAGTGCCAGCCCCCAATCTCCAATATTAGCCCTGTCCCCAGAGCTCCCCAGTGCCTGCCCTGCTCCCTCACCTAGCCCAGCGCTGCCTCCCAGCCGCCAACTGAGTGATGCTGCCTGGGTGGCGGCTACTCTAAGGCTGCCATGCTGCACACTGCTTTTCTGTATATGGGAGGAGACCCCGCCCCGCCCGGTGCTGGTTGGCTGAGAGGTAGGGCAGGACAAGCCACTCCCAATAGCTGTGGCCCCGTCCCCAGAGCCATGGTGGCCTGGTAGCCATAGGGACTGGCAGTTGGGACCCGCTGTGCTAGACCCTCTGAGACTCAACCTATGCAGGACCCTGCTTTCTGAGAACCATCCTGAAGAAGCAATTTTACCCTTGTGTCTTTGGCAAGATTTGAAATTTTCTCGGAGCAATATCTCCAGCCTCCACAGACATTTATCTCTCCGGATTCATTACTATTAGGCGAAGTGTAATTGCATGTCTTACCATTTTAATTAAATCTCAATTCCACTAGAGCAGCAGCTGCCTAATTTGTGAGACACTTGGAGGGAGAAAACTTCAAAAGATAGAAATCTTATTTCTCCCCTCTTCCAGGCTCCTGGGAGGCCAGATGAATAAGCCTGTTGTTGCAATAGTGCCACCAATTTGCGAGGGAAACACAAGGATGATGCGTTTAGTGAACAGTTGTGGGGCTTTTTGTTTCTACTTTCAAAAGTACTATTTAATTTCTAGGTCACCAGTTCTGGTAGGCTGGAGAGCACAGGTGATAACACAATTTCTTTTTCCCAAGTAAATGCTAATTGCAGCATGAAAAATAACATTTGGCATCTCTGCTTTTTAAAGTCAATATTGAAGAAGACTGTGACGGTGACAGAAACTCCCTCTGCGGTTTTTCATTACCTAGAGGGTGACCTAGCTACACAAGACTCCTGTGCCAGCAAACAAGTTAATGCCATCTTTGAAGCTGCAAAGAAAGACCTTTTAACATTGATGAAACTTGATGTAAGTTACTAAAGTAATAATGACCTTGCTGTGCTTCTCATCCCTTTCTGCACTATCAGTAAAAAGTAAATCTCCTCCCTGATGTCCTGCAAACTCTTTAGGAGGGAGATGGGCTGGCTGTGGGGGAGTTGTCTCTTCCTCAACCCTTTAACATTGAAAGCAAGCTTGAAATAGATCTAACTTTTTACATCTGTACTGCTTAATGTGTGACTGCCGGCCATGGGAATTTACTTTTGCCTTTGAAGTTGCAGTGGTGTTCCTTACTGGCAGGAATCGCAAGTGCTTTTCCTGTCAGTAAGTGACAAGCAGTATTACGATTTTTATTGTTGTTTACTGCTAACTGAGTAGTGAGACTCAGTTCGTGCCCCCCTGCCCAAGCTGATTCCTTCTCGGACTGAAACTAGACTACACTACCGAGCCTTTCTTGTTAGGGTTCAACACACAACACCGAATAGATTGAAGTGCACATTGACACTTTTTTTAAGGGGACTAACGCAAGGTGTGTCCAACATGCCTGAGTTAACTTTGTTCTGGTGATTAACATTTAGTATGCTGTTTGAAGGTTTCTATTTATAACTGAACAACTAAATAATGTACTCCTGTAACAGTTTATTTTTGGGGCGAGATAATGTTACATAAGCTTTTGTGTTCTGCTTCTGTGTCTCCAAGATCAAAAGAACTACTCCAGCAATGCCGTTTAGCTCAGCATTCATAGTTCTTCCTTGAATCCATTTTCAGTGCTGTGGTAGTTGACTACTTTTACTTGATTTACCAATGGATTCGTTCAGCGACATGAGTCACCCTCTTGGGTACTTACTGAAAGGCGGTACAGTCGCCGTGGTAGTGGTGGCTGGCAGGCTAACAGCCTGTCAAACTCTGGCTCTTGCAGATTGACAGAAACAGCAAGAACCCTCGCTGAGGAGGACTGGGGCTGTCTGGATCGTGGCATTCCAAGAGCTAGCAGCAGCCACAGCCCTGTTATCTGCACCACTTGTTTAAAAAGTCTCTTTTCCATTGGATCGAATGATTTCCAAGGGAGGGCCTGAATTGTGTGAGTGTGAGTGAGTCAGTCCAGGTCAGACAAATGTGCTGGACTGTTATTGCCTATCATTACCCGATAGCACGTTGAGCTGTGGTCTGAAACTTTCCCTTTGGTATTGCAGTTCCTGGAAGGAGCAAAAGTTCTTGCCAGCCTGTTGAATTTGGCACTGGTGAAGCCATATCTGGAGCACTGTGTCCAGTTTGAGGCTCCCAACTACAGAAGAGGTGTGGGCTGAGGAACTTGATTTATTTAGTCTGCAGAAGAGAAGAGTGAAGGGGGATTTGAGAGCAGCCTTCACTTACCTGAAGGGGGTTCCAAAGAGGCTGGAGAAAAGCTATTCTCAGTGGTGGCAGATGGCAGAACAAGGAGCAATGGTCTCAAGTTGCACTGGGTAGGTCTAGGTTGGATATTAGGAAAAAGTCTTTCCCAGGGGAAGTGGGGAAGCACTGGGATGGGTTCCCTAGGGAGGGGGTGGAATCTGTATCCTTAGAGGTTTGAAAGATCCAGCTTGAGAGAGCCATGGCTGGGATGGTCTGTTTGGGTCGGTTCTGCTGTTAGACAGTGGCCAGGGTAGTGAGTGGTCTGTGAGCCCTATCACACCCGCGTCTTTAGCTGGTAGGACAGAGTCCCTTTGCAGCGGGCAGCCAGGAAGGCTGACGGGTGCCCCAAAGATACACCCGAGTCTTTGACTGCTAGGACAAAGTCCCTTCACAGCGGGCAGCCAGAGAGACTGACGGGTGCCCCAAAAAGTCTGCCCTGTGGATGTGGCACGACTCAATGCTCAGCTCGTACTGTGTTTACCCCTGACCGGGTATGGTTCTTTTGATAGTGTTTTGTTCTGTTGCAGCAGCAGGAGGAATTAGGTTAAAGCTTAAACAGTTACTATTTTATTGTTACAAGGCAAGCGTAACTGTTAAATGTTACTGCTGTGTTACAGATAACACAGCCACTACAAAAAGACAAGACAGAAATTACAATGAAAAGTCACTTAAAGGTACCATGAAATCCTTTTGGTTCTCTGAGCTCTTATTGAATGTGCGCAAAAAATGGACACCTAGCAGGTATATTCTCACCCATGCGATCCTTACTCCAGCGAAGCCAGCATTTCTCTCAATCCCAATGGGAAGCAGTCGGTACGAGACGAAGGCATCCCTAAAGTCTCGGGGTCCAAGACCGCCTGACCAGCAGGTATATGGGTGGATCTCCAATTAGAGTGGGGCACAGGGCCCCACTTTATACCCCTGTGGTCACGTAGATGTTTCTCTCGTCATTAAAATGCCAATTAAGTTGGAACGTCTTTGTGACGCCCATTCCCACAGGGGGTCCAAAGCTTAATTTGCACCTGTGAGGTGGAGGTAACTAAATCATTAGGGCCAGACGTCCTTTTTCTGATGGGGCGGCAGATTCCTCTTCTGGGACGGAGTGTAGGCGTATCAATACTGGTACCAGCCAAAGGCAGCCTGAGGCCCCTATCACCTGTTGGCCCAATTGCTTTTGTTATCTGGTTCCTGTCTAGCATCCAGGGCCATTGTTATTCCAGCACCTCTGGAGGCCCTGGAGCCTTTGAAGACAGAGTTTCGCTCTCAAGGATTCTCTCTCCCAAGGATGTCGGGGGGAGGGGAGGGAAGGGTTTCTGTCTGGCTACATGTGCTTTGAGCAGGGAATTGGACTGGATGACCTTCTGAGGTTTCTTTGAACCCTAAGTTGAACCTTCTCTCCAGGCAGTAGCTAGAATTCTTCTGTTGACTGAGCACGTTGTACATCAGGCTGTAGGTTGGCTCACACCTGTGTCACTCAGGAGGGGGGATTTTTCATATTCCTGAGTGATGAGCCGGGTTACCTTATCTTAATTGAGGCCAGGCCTATGCTGAAAAGTTACCTCGATATGAAGCCCATTTAATTAACTCTTGTCTAAACTGATTTAATTAAATGTACGCAATGTTTGTGTGTTGACAAAATCATGTGGTGTATTGCCTTTAGAGCTTTGGGTTTATATTCTTCTGTAACCCTAAAATACTCTGAGGTTCAGCATAAGGGCTTTGGTATCTACCCAAATGGGTTTAGCTAAGGAGCAGTTTTGATTTCTAATAGCAAGGGGAAATGTTCTTGCCTTAGCTATCTAGCTCAGTGAGAGAGGCAGCAGGATCTTCTGACCAGAGCAGGGACTAGGAATTGGGAAAGCTGAGTCCTGGTCCTAGAGCTGACCTTGGGGAAGTCACCTGCCTTTCTGGGCCAAATGGAGTTAATATTTCTCTGCCCATGGGAGTGTCGTGGAATGCAGTCACTCACGCAGTGTGGGGGAAGCAATTTGAAATGCCCTCCGGGAAGGTGCTCTGAAAGGAAATGTCTGACCAGCACAAAAAGAAATGGCTGTTGCAGTTGATTTTTAAACCAACAAGCTCCAGGCATTCAGGACTCTAATGTACATTGCAGCACCGCAGTGTCTGAAAGCAAGGGAGGAAGAAAGCAAACTTGAATAGTTCAGGCCTTGTAGCCTTGTGCGCTGCTATTTATGGCGTGCTTAATTTAGCCCTTCAGAGCAGCACTGACTTCTCTTTTGGGACTCAACGTGCCCTATCATTTTGCTTTCAAGGCAAAACAAAAGTCAGTTTGAATGTTTCAAACAGTGATAATAGTCTGGAAGTTGAATGCGCTCATTGTTCTCATGATGTCAGGATAGCGGCTATCCAGTCTAATTATACCTGTTAATTGGTGTGTTTAAAACAATAACCTCTCTAAGCTATAATTTAAGGAGTGAACCTGCCAGGTGACTTCAACCCTGCTCAAAACATAGGGGCTGACTCATAGGAAAGGAATGGCTGGCGTGGTGAAGCAGATGCCAGGCGACTTTATTTCCCTTTTAACTGAATCTTGCTCTCAGCTGGGGACTCTGCAGGAGCTGGCACTTCGCTCCGAATGGAGAGCGGCTACTGAAGACAGGAGCTGGTGACGCTGGTTCTGACAGAGGGTGTGTCGGGTCCTACTGCACGCATGGCCAGGTTAATATTCCCAACTTAGTATCCTCTAATACTTGCTGTAGAATAGAACCATAGAATCCTAGAACACTTGAACTGGTAGGGACCTTGAGAGTCCAGTCCCCTGCCCTCACGGCAGGACCAAGCCCCATCTAGACCATCCCTGACAGGTGTCTGTCCAACCTGCTCTTGAATATCTCAGTGATGGAGATTCTACAACTGGGGTGTTTATCCCAGTGTTTAACCATCCTGACAGGCAGGAAGTTTTCCTAATGTCCAACCTAAACTTCCCTTGCTGCAATTTAAGCCCATTGCTGCTTGTCCTATCCTGAGAAGTCAAGGAGAACAATTTTTCACTCTCCTCCTTGTAATGTCCTTTTAGATACTTGAAAATGCTATCTTGTCCCCCCCTCAGTCTTCTCTTTTCCAGGCTAAACAAGCCCAATTCTTTCAGTCTTTCTCCATAACTCGTGTTTTCTAGGCCTTCACACATTTTTGTTGCTCTTCTCTGGACCTTCTCCAATTTCTCCACATCTTTCTTGAAACCTGGTGCCCAGAACTGGACACAATCCTCCAACTGAGGCCTAATCAGAGCAGAAGAATGACTTCTCGTATCTTGGTATGATTTAGTACTTTGACTTGGAGACCCTCTGGAAAATGCGTTGAGGGGGTCAGCCCCCTCTGTGGATGTCACAGAAGCACTTCAGTTCGTAGTAATTGAATTGGTACATGCTGGTACTCTTAACAGAGCGGCCAAAGTCAGAACAGGCTGTGGACAGTGAACTGTTTCCTCACCCCCATTATGGCTACCCTGCAGGGTCAGCAGAGCCATGCACATATCCCAGTGTGTGTGAACTCCTCCTGCACCTGCTCTGTCAATAGGCAGAGCTGTCAGTCTCCTGCATGAAACTCACATACGATTTATTACCCACCATCCTCCACTGGCGCCCAGTTCGCTTCCATTCCCAGCTCAAGCCCTGGGTCACTGACTTCAAGCCATCGGTAGCCAGGCCCCAGCTTCGTTAGTGACCATAACTCCTAGATAACAGCTTCTGTCGGGGACAGTGCGATTGCAAAACCTTGGACAGAAGACGGGATAGCTGGACTTCACGTTCTCGTGGAGGAGGATCACTTGTAAGAATGGGCTTCTGAAGTCAGGCGACTACCATTCGAATGCTGAAGAATGCGCTGTGACGAGAAGAAAGGGAAGAGATGTAAGGAAAAACCTCCCAGTAGGAATGTGCAGCCCAGTGAGAAGAGCAGAATACTCCACTGTGCCCACCTTGTGTTCTGGATGGAATTGATACCGAAGTCCTCTTCTGTTAGGGGGATGAAGACTTTTGGCAATGCTAAAACAGGCAGAAAATTACAGGCTGACTGGGAAATCCCTGAGCTTTATGCTGACGGGTTAGGTGACACTTATACAAATAACAAAAAGGCTAATCATGGTTGCATAGGTTGATCAGCGCTTTGCAGTGACTTAGTTTCAATTACAGGTAAGTAAATATGGGTCCTTGAAAAGTGTAGCACCAAGTGCTTTGCTTTGGTCCTGAATTATCTTGATAATGGAGTCGTGCAGGCTCTTTCAACTCCTGCGCAGCAGAAACTGCACGTGGCCCACTGGGGTTCTATGTGTGGACCCCCCAAGACCTTTTGCCGGGCTCAGGGTGGCCAGAGTCTGCCGGTTTCTGTCCCCCCAGTTGGTTTCTTACAGGACTGCTAACATGACATGCATGCAGAGCAAGGGCGCCGGCAGGGAGGTGCATGGCAATCACATGCAACTTTGATGATAAGATGCGTGCGTTTAATCTGCATCCAGGCCCAGCGCTGCTACAGTTCAGTGGGCCCCCTGCAAATTCTAGGGACACAAGCGCAGTTAGCAAAACCGCCCCATCCCGGGAGACAATTCTGCAGCCCACTGAGCTGGAGGAGGCCACTCGTGCTGGCCACTCACTAGCCTAGGCTGCCCCTCACTGCCATAGTTGAAGACTTTTTTAAAAGAGTTAATGGTCATTTTTGTCATTATTCTTCATATGCGACAGTTTATTTCGACATGGTTTGAAGGCAAAAGTCCTTAGAGTATTGCACGAAGACCTGCCCATTCTGAAAACAATTATGGTCTCCCATAGCCTCCTTTGGGATTGAGCTTACACGGTGGCCTCATTGTAGGATTCCTTCTTTCCAGACAGGCACCAAACCAAGCAGGGAGTGAAGCCAAGCTACCCTGAGGGCAGATGGCGGCTTATGGCTTCTATAAGGTCATTCTGGAATTGGCGTTGGCAGGGAGGCCCGAGGGAGACAGGCTATAGCCACGGGAAAGGGTTGGAGCAGGTTGTGCCTATTCCAGTAAGATGGTGGATTTTGTTTCTTTTTTGGGGCCGATGGAGTGAGGTGAAACAACAAACTCTCATTGAATGAGAGATGTGGCAGCAGCTGTCTCACTCCGATCTCATTCAGTGTAGATCTGTGTCTAATTCACTTTGGGGGTTATTCCTAGCAAGTCCCCTTGGACTGGGACAGGCTAGTGATCTTGTCAGGGAACTCCTTTCTTATTTCTTATGATTCATCAAGACGTTTTGTGCGAGGTCATGGAGAAACATGTCAGCAGCGGAGAGGCATTCGGCGAATAGAGGCAGGCTGCCTTTCCGTTCAGTTAGAACAGCATATGTAGGTGACGTTTCAAAGTACGTTGAGAGAATTGAGAAATAGGAAGTGACCCGGACTCCAGAGCATCTAAAGAAGTAATTCTAATTATCACCTTTTCCATTGCTTATTTCATTGGCACATCTTGGTGCTTTGTAATGGGGGGAGGGGTATCCCAAGTCCCAATTTTTTCCACTGGAAATCTGAGGCATTTGGAAGTGAAGTGACTTGAAGTCACTCAGCCTTGGAGAGAGCTGGAAATACAATGCAGGTCCCCTGGGTGCCAGTCCAGTGCTCTGTACAAGACAGAAACAGACATTGGGGTAGATCTCTTGCTAGTATTCCCCAGCTTCCTTTCAAATTATTCACCTACCCTGTCTGTGCTGTGTGTTGAGACTCTGGGGAGGAAAATGTAAAAGAGGCCTGTAATCCATTGTAAACTTGCTACAGTTTTTTAGCTTGCCATTTACTAGCTAAAGTACTAAATGCTGCCTACCATTAATAGTAAGGTTGTGTTAAATGCTCCCTCGTAGAAGTGGGCGTGGTGCGGGAGAAAATGCACTTCAGTGGCAGAGCCTAGCATGTTCATATTTAGTGATGTGTTGCAGAACAAACTTCCGCAATACAAGAATCCTTGAGGGCGGAAATGTAAACCACGTTTTCATTGATGAGATCAACCAATCCATGTTCATTTCATTAGGAATTGGAAGGTTCCTAGTCTATTTAACTCCCATTTTTGCCTTCATGCCTAACAAAGTGCTTAAATATTTTAAATGTATGTATGTGAAAACCAAGAGCTACATTATTCCTATGAACATGTACATTGGGCAGAGAAGTGTCAGGGTGTGACTGTGAACTAAGGGGTTTATAACCTTCCCTTTTGGGAAGTTGCTTACTCCCTTACGGTATCACCTCTGTTGGCAGCTGCAGAGATGTTTACAGTGTGTGTGGCTGTCCTTTCCCCCACAGGACCCCTCGTTGCTGAAGGGCAAAGTAACTCTGCATCAGGTTACGGCTGGGACTGTGGTATCGAGACAGGGAGACCAGGTGAGTGCCCGCCGTGAAGGGAAAAGTGAGTCTGTAGCTTATAAACTGTTTGCTATTGTTACAACTCGTCAGTCATTCCTGTCAAGCCCTTAGTGTATGACAGAAGATGGAGTAGAGTTGAGACGAGTGGCCCTGGACTGGCTTTGGGGAGTTTTGGGATCAGTTCCTCTGCCACAGGCTTCCTGGGGCAGTTACTTTCACCTCTTCATGTCTCTGCAAGTGGTGGGTGAGCAGCCTCACCAGGGTATTCACTAAAACATTTCTGAAGCACCCAGATGCTGTGGTGACAAGGGCCATACGATGGTCTGGATGAAAGCAGGAGGGGGTGAAGAGTGCACGTTAGGCAGGATATGGCCTAGAAAACACAATCTACACGGAAATATTTAAAAATTGGTTTAATCTGAAGTGAAGACTTAGGGGGGACATTATAACAGTCTCGCGTGTGTACGTGGTTATTTTGAAAGGAGGGCGATACGTTATTCTCATCCACTGAGGACCCGATAAGAAGTAGAGGGCTGAAAATGGAGACCTGGGAAGATTTTCTAGTGTCTGGCCAAACTGTAACACCGGAACAAATGAGCGAGGGAGGCTCTGGAATCTCTGTCGTTGGAGGCTTTTAAGAGATTAGACGAGCACCTCTCAGGGCTGGTCTAGAAAAGCCCCAGTGCAGAGGCTGGAGTAGAGGAGCTTTTGAGGTCCGTTCCACTCCTACGGTTCTGTGGTTCTGTTGCCTCTTGAATGGGGAGCCGAACAAGATTGGGAGAAGCTGGCAGGCACTTATCCATCTGGGTGCAGAGGCTCAGAATTGCAGTCCACACACAGACCCTTCCATTCTCACTTGCACAGTGTGGAGTTTTCCTTTTGTAATTCAAAAGGAGAGTGGCTCATGTAATAGCAACAGTGATCTTAGCTGCAGATTATGGGTTTTGCTGTATATGGAAGAATGCATCGCTGATTTGCAATGTAAATATGGTATCCTTATCCACTAGGTTTCAAGTTTATACATATTCCCATGAAATTGTGTGCGTTACAAATGCCCTGCATACAAAACCCCAGCCCTCAATGCATATGTCACAGTTTTATTAGAGTGCCTTCTCCTGTTAACATACAACTGGATTTTTTTGCATTTTGCAACAAGCAGTGCTACATCCCGCACATAATACTCTTCTGTACTAGCACTAAGAGTGAAAATACACAGCTGTGTGCAATGCCGATGAAGGGAATACATTTTTGCACATTTTTAGTGCTTACATATTCACATCTGTTCCAGTCAGGTGTGTGCGTGCCAGGAGCTTTTGCCCATAGCAGCCTCCGTTGGGTTGACTAGGGTCCCCTAGGAGAGGCGCCTGCATGATGCGCACTATATGACCCTGTCAGCATGGACCCCCCTTCAGTTCCTTGTTACTGTCCGTGGCGGTGCTGGCGCCCCAATCGCTGGTGCTCCCTTAGCTGTCCTAGTTCTGTCTGAGTTTGTTCCGTTGGGATAGTTTCCCCTCCACCCGCCTCGAATGTGCCGGAAGCCTGGGAGTTGAAGGCTTGCACTGACTGCTGTGAGCAACCTCCCTCCTTCCCCCCCACGGTGGCTTGGGGAACTGTCAGTCAGAGCCCTGCAGGATTTGCCAGGCAGTCCAGCCTCGTGCTGAAAAGGAGAGTTGCCTGGCGTTGCTCCTGATGGAGCCTCACTAAGTCCTGCAGCACCGGACCACTCAGGCTCCTCAGCCCAGAGCACCCCCCGGGGGTGGGAGGTGGTGCGAAGGGAGGACTTGACAAGAGCCCCAGCACAAAGTCTCCGGCACCACCCCCGGGGAGAGCCACGTCACTGCTCCTCCCCTGAGTGCCAACCGGGAGGCACAGAGGAGTTGAGAGGGGCTGTTCCTCACACAAGGCCACTAAGCTGCTTACTGGCCAAAGAGCCAATAGGCAGGCAGCTGCTGCAGACCAGGCAGGAACAGGGTTGACTCCAGCCCCACAAGCTGCAAGCAGCTGGCTCCCTGCCGGGGCAAGAGCTTGTCAAGGTGCTCGACCCATCAACACCAGATACGTTCAGAGTGGCCAGGGACCTAATAGAACTCACGGCACCACCGGTCCCATCAAGCAACCACAAGCCTCCAGTGCCGTCCAGACAAGTGCAGTCCAGGTGAAGCGCTCCTCTTCCGGGGCCCGGCACCGATCCAGCTCCCGTTCCACGGCACCATTCCCCAAGGCACGCAGCCCCGGCAGGCAGCCCACCACTTTCCCTAGCATCTCCACCTCTCCAGGTCTCCCAGTTATGGCCCCAGTAAGGGAGCTCCCCTTTCAGTAGTGTGACTGGCATGGTTTACAACATTCATGACTAATTAAAGCATTTCTGAATGTGCCTTGTTGTGTTGCCTAGGTGCCTCCTGCTCCACGGAGCCGCACAGCAACATGGACGCTTTGCGGCACTGTTAGGGTTCAGGCTGTGTTGTAACGAGGGGCTCTTTCTCCATCGCTTTCAGGATGTTCACATCCGGTTTGTGATCTCGGGTTTGCTTCATGTGTACCAGCGGAAGATCGACTCCGAGGAGGAGACCTGTCTCTTCATCACCCATCCAGGGGAAATAGTAGGCCAGCTAGCTGTCCTGACAGGGGAGCCTCTCATTTTCACCATCAAGGCCAATCGAGACTGCACGTTCCTGTCCATTTCCAAATCCCATTTCTATGAGTGAGTCTCCCCTTAGCGTGGTGCTGGCTTTCCGTCTTCATGCTCACCTAGAAAGCCCAGTTATTTTGGGTGTGCGTCAGCGGTGGAGGGGGCGGGGACGATGTGTGAGTGGTTAGTGCACATTGTGCAGCAAACCATATGGTTGGGGGTAGGGATTTAGGCAGTGCCATACTGGGTTGGGTCATGGTGTGACGGGGGTGGTCACAGAAGACTCCTTGGGGTTGCTTCTTGGTGTGCTGATAAAGCCACTGACACTCGTCATCTTGCTCTCTGGGGCTTCTCAGCACCTTGTTCTGCTCCGCCCCCCAGCTGAGGCACGTTTCTCCCCCGAGGCACATTTCTAAGCCCAGTGTATAGAAATAGGTGGCCCAGGGCGCTGGGCAGTGGGTTCAGTCCCTCTCACTGATCCTTGGGGGCAGGGAGATGCTGCCTGGTACCAGCACCACTGATGCCTCGGTGTGCCTGGGGGTTAGCATAGGAGAGGCTCTGGCTGATGGTATCAACTCCCCCACATGAACATGCGAGGTGCAGGGTAGAAGGTGCGGCTCTCTTGATGGGCAGTGTAACTGAGTGGTCACCAGAGCCCCCTTGAGGGGGCGGGCAGGCTCTGAACACCGTGCCACAGTCTCTTTGCCAGTAAGTCTCAGCGTGGAGTCTAGTGGTGGATGAATGAGAGAGGAGCAGAAATTCTCTGCCAGCCACGCTGGGCATGAACGTGCTGCTGGGACACAAGTAGCTGGCCCACCCTCCATAGCTGACTTGCCGACGCAGGCCTCTGGAGGAGCAGGCATCGGGCTCACTGGCTTCCTGATGTCTGTGGGGGAGCCTAGTGGCAGGGATTCTGGGGAGAGAAGAAATGGGCCTTACGGCACTTGGGTGAGTGCCTCTGTCCTGCTAGTGCTCCCTTCCTGCCCCTCAGCTGTGGGCTAAGCCTGGGGCTGGGCACCCACTCACTGCGCAGCGGAAATAGGTGGTTTGAGTGGGCACGTCTGCAAGAGAACCGCTGTGCCCGCCGTGCTGGTGTTGGTAGCGAGAGCTCTCACGTTTTCGCATCCCGGGGTGTGGGAATGTGGCTCTTGGCATCGCCGCCCTGAGGTGATGCTCTCGGCAGCTTCATGGCGCCGCCACCTGCCCCCTCAAAACACGTCTCCCCTTTCCGAGGAGAGGGGCCAGCTCCAGGCTGAGGGGCCCCCAGTGTCTCTGGGGACAGTGCTATTGCAAGTGCTGCGGAGCTTGCTCCAAAGCAGCCTCCTGCACAGGAGCCGAGGTGAAGAGTTTGTGCCGTGTAGAGAAGCCCTCTAAAGAGCGAGGCTCCTGGAGCATTTCACAGGGTGTCTGGGGGAAGGAGGCCGGTGCAGAAAGCACCATGGGAAATGGGTCGTGGCACCCGGGAGCAGTAGTTGCCTGGATTGTCATGTTGTGAGCCCTGCCCTGCCCAGGCAGTGACTGGTTTGCTCTGGGGAAGCTGTCTGTGTGCTTCTATCTGAGTGAGGGGTTGTGGTGGCTTTGTGCTTGTTCTCTTCTAGGATAATGCGGGTGCAACCCAGTGTAGTGCTGGGGGTGGCCCACAGTGTCGTGAAGAGGATGTCCTCGTTTGTGAGGCAGATTGACTTCGCCTTGGACTGGATGGAAGTGGAGGCTGGACGAGCTGTTTACAGGTGAGATGTAAGCAGCATGGCCCCTGTTGTAAGCCCTAGTACTCCTGCTGGAAGACTATCAAAGGCTTCCAAGTAATTGAGTGCTCTGCCTACCTTTGATTAGTGAGCGGGGGGACGAAATCCCTGAGTGCTGCTTCAGTTTAAATTCGGTGGTGCCTTTCTGAAGTAGCAGAACTGATAACGCAAGCCAGGACAATACCAGTGTGTACAGACCGCGTTTGTCTGCCAGCAAAGCCTTCTGCAGCATGCAGAGGACAAGAGCTCCTCTCTACCTCAGGGCGCTTGCAGCCTGAAATACACCAAAGGGAACTTGGGTTTGCATAACTGTAAATTAAAACCGACGTTCCAGCAGTGTCCTAGGCCCTGCTCCTCCTTGGGTAGCTCCAGTCGTTGTGTAGCATTAACCACGGTAGAACTTGGAGTCAGGCCACCCACCCAAGCGGTTCGTTCTCTTCTCTCTGCACCATGGCCCCGCTGCCTCGGTTCAGCTCTTTCCTGCTGGCCTGTTGGCTGTGCTGGGGAATGAGCAATCCCAGCTGTCTCCCTGCTGAAGACTGGCCAGTTGTTGATTGCATGAAATCGGGCTGGGAGGACAGAGCTCTGAGATGCAATTAATACGAAGAGCAGGGAACCATAACTTCAGGTTTCGTTACTGCTCTTGCAATGTAAAATCTCAGCTTCAAAAAGCCCACGTGTCAAAGGGGCCGTGGATGGTCCGGGCTCGAATCTGGTTCCAGTGTCAAACGTTCAGCCCAATTTGCCTCCTCCGCTGGACGTGAGAGCTGAATGCCGAACAGCGTCTGCCATCTCTGGATGGGCAAAGGCTAGAAGGGGGCAGCTCCGCGCCACCCCACGCTCGCCCGTCCAAAGAGGAGGCTGAGGTTCGGGTCAGGCCATCCACACAAGCAGTTGCTTCTCTTCTCTCTGCACCAGTGCCCACCGCCCCCATGCAGGCACTTTCCTGGAGCCCCTTGCTTTGCGAGGGAAGGTTCCAATCCCAGCTGCTGGCTGGATGTAGTCGCAGTGGAGATAAGTTTACAAGTTGCCTTTGACAAATCTGCGGCCAGGTTGTTGGTTTTTTAATTGTTCAGTAAACGTTTTTCTCCTCTCTGCTGAGAGCAGAGCTCCCAAGCATTGCGTAGAGCTGATGAATTGGTTTTTGGATGCATTTGCTGAGTACAGATGCCTCGCTAATTCTTGGTGTGAATTGTTCTCTCCCAGGCAGGGTGACAAATCGGACTGTACGTACATTGTGCTGAATGGTCGACTTCGTTCTGTCATCAGGATGGATGATGGGAAAAAACAATTGACTGGGGAATATGGGCGAGGAGACCTAATCGGGGTGGTAAGAATCAGCTTCAGAATCTACTTGCTGCACTTTACAGAAAACTCTGGCGCTTTAACCAAAACAAATGAGTTAATGGGTCGGGTCTTGGCTTGGGAAAGTGAGGTTGTCAGCCTTTTGAAAGGGCTGTGGCAGGAGAGTGCAGCTTCGACTGTTCAGACTCTTCCATTGCTGCTGTTCTCTTGGGGTTTGGACATTGAGAGGGGTGTGGTGTGTGCCCTGTGTGGATTTTTCACACGGTGTCCTTTGGAGCTGAGCACGCCGCTTTGATAGCATATGTCCACATCAGACAACTTTCTCCCCACCTGCCTCTGTCCATTGCTTGCTCTCGGTCCCCATGTTAAAATCTGAAAAGGGCATCCAGCTTTACACCGGCAGTGCAGGCACTTGCCTGTCTTAAACTTCAATCCAGCGGACCTCTGAAATGCTGAGGTGTCCGTTCAAACCTCCTCCAGCTTGTTCTGGCTGTGAAGGCTAGATGTGCTACTGCAATATACCATCAGGAGCGGTGTCAGTCGGAACTCCCTCGAGACCTAGGACAATCAAACGGTAGAACTAGTGTGAAATAAAACGCTGTAATAAGGTATAAAAGCAACGGTGGCAGCCTGCAGACAAACAGGTTAATGAAAATGACCTAGTGGGCGTTGGAACTACAGGTGGGAAACTCTTGATAGGACAAGACCCAACGAGCTTAAATTGCAGCAAGGGAGGTTTAGGTTGGACGTTAGGAAAAACTTCCTACCTGTCAGGGTGGTGAAACACTGGGATAAGTTGCCCAGGGAGGTTGTGGAATCTCCATCGCTGGAGATATTGAAGAGCAGGTTAGACAGACACCTGTCAGGCCTGGTCTAGATGGTGCTTGGTCCTGCCTTGAGGGCAGGGCCTGGATTTGATGAACTCTTGAAGTCCCTCCCAGTTCTAATATTCTATCAATATTAGGGAAGCCTTGGCCTTCCGTCTGGATAAGACAAAGTTCTTCCGAGAGATCTATATGCGTCTTGCTAGCAGATAGAGCAAAATAATCTGCAATCTCTAATGGTAGGCTTTCCAAGTGGCGATCAGGCTGCGTTAACACTTGCTATGACTCTTGCAGTATTCAATCGCCTTCAGATCTATGAGCTTGTTCTACAAGGACCCTTGCCGCTTCTCTGGCCTTCCTCAAGGGCATGCCCGCTACTGAAATCTGGATGGACAGCTCTATGTATGTCCCTGAACACAGCTGTAAGCCCCAACTCTGCTTCTGATCTGTGTTGTCTCAGCTGGGCTTGACTCCAAAGCCACCTCTGCCTTAAGAGGTGCTGTTCCATAGTCCCCTAGATCGGAGCGCCCCTAGGGACACAGAAGAAGAAGAAAGGGTTAGTCGTTTCCTGCAGTAACACTGGGATTCTAGCTGTATCCCCTGTGGTGCTCCACAGCCACCCTTCTTCTCCTTGGCTTGGAGTTCTCCCTTGTGGAGCCGTCCACGATTTGCCTGTTCGGTGCTTCATAAACAAGGGCATGTGGCACAAGCCTGACAGGCCGGGGGAGTCAAATAGACCCTGCTATGAGAAATCTCGGCTCAAGTTTGCTAGTGCATCTAGAATGGAGGCTCTTGGAACACATCTTGAAAAAACAGTGGGGGGGGGAGCATTTCTTTCTGTAGCTCACTAAACGAGCGCCATTTCCCAAGCTGGTTCCTAAAATCAGGCTTGCGGAAGGGCTGAATTTCTAGTAGGTCTGTCCCCGGGATGGCTGCCACCGAACCCCAGCTCCAGGCATGTGCTGTTGTGTCCAGTCAAAAAAATAACCCCCGTTCTCTGGGAAAGAGACACAGCACTCTTAAGTCAAGCTTCTCCCCAGGCTTCTGGGCAGTTCCTTGCCTTCTCTTTGTCTTGTCTTGGAGCTGCAGCCACAGGGTACCTTCCTTGAGACCCAGGCACCCACTGCAGGAGCTACGCCACTTCCGGGGCCTCTCTCGCCAGGGCTGTCTGTGGTTTTCGCCCAGTCACCTGCTAGTGGCCCTTTAAAGCAAGTGGGTTCACACTTCTAACTAGCTGGTTTGGGCTCGCCTGCTCCAGGCCAGAGACCACCCACCCGCCCTGTAACAAGGTCTTGTAGAAGTTGATCAGAGACCAGCAAATTTGAAAATCCGCGCCACTTACCTCGGTTCCCCAGTACCAACCTCAGGATTTCCCTGTCGGATGCAGCCTCTGAAAATCTTGGTCAGAATCCAGAAGATTTCAGGCTTTCGGACTTCTTTTAGTAATGAAAAGGTGAACGTGCTTCAAGTCCAGGACAGTTCTGCAGATTGTTTTCTAGCACATGACTGTCCATGGAAGAGGAACCCAGTTCTTACTACCCCCCACAAAAGAGGGAATAAAATACCTTTTAAGTAAACCATATGGCAAAACTTGCATTTTTTTGTAGCTTTAATCTCATTAACCAGACTGAGAGCCTCTAATTAATTACGGCGGAGATTAAATTAAAACAGCAAAGCTAAATCTGCCATTGTGAATTCATTTTACACTCTAAACATTATGAACAACCTAGTCTGTCTTAAGTCTTGTAGTATTTAATGATGCAGTTCAACTCATAAATATTTATGCAGTAAAGTGAAGAAATGTTCAAGACCAATTATAAGAGTGATTATTAAATAGATTCTGGTTCCTTTGGAGATTGAGAATAAATTCCTTTTCATTTTCTAAAAGTTAATATAGGCAATCTCTAATCTCCGTGCAATCCTGAAAAGAAAAGCTGGTGTGTGTTTTCTCTCCAAGCTTTCGTTCTTTACCAGAAGCCACGTTGTTTCAAGCATGTTTCCTGGGACAAACGTTACAAATCAGATGCGCGTTAGAACTGCACTTGGTAGGAATGCGATGGCAGCTCTTGCTTGGTGCCTCGGCGAGCAAACTGATGTTTTCTGATGTGAAAAAGTGGGAATGTTGCCAGTTAACGTCACATGATTTTGAGTCCCTATTAGCCCCCACCCCACTGGGGCCCTGGAAAGGGCACATGGGCCAGTGAACGCGTGAAAGGCCCTTTTAGGGCAGCGTCCACACATGGGAATGGAAGAGGTTGGTGCCTAAAAGGTGGCCCCTGTGGGTGTGAGCAGAGTAATGGCCAAGTGGTCCCGAGATCTCTTCCCATTTCTGCCACTGCTTGCTTTGTAGTGCAGCTCTCTGCTTGCCTGCTGGCAGCGCAGGCGCTCTGTGAAGCTGGTAAATGTCACTATCCCCTCTTTACGGGGCAGTCAGACTCAGGCAAACTGAAGCAGCCTGTTCAAGTTTGCATAGCAAATGCGTGTTGGGACTAGGGCCCTGATTCCCAGGTCTGTCTCCTGAAGGGGGCACTGAGTTGTAATAAAGCCCCAGACTCGTGCAGCTGTTGGTACCTGTGAATAGGTATGCGCACAAGGGTAACGGCTCACAGCCAAAGATGCCGGCTTAGGGTTCACGGTATGGCTGAGATGCTGGGACGCTGGTGAAACGAAAGCTGCCTGTCTGGGGGTCAGAAGGCTTGCGAGGGAGCCGAAAGGGCCATGTCTGCTGTTGTAATCGGCTTGTGTTCAGTTTCACATGGGCTTTGTGGTAGGACGTGGCAGGGTGGGGCGCTCTGACAGCAGTGCCTTAGTGGTGTGTCGTGTAAGAGATGCAGCAGCATCCCGCGCTAGAAAAATAATTGACATTCTATTTCTGTACTTAGTGGCTCCTGTGTGGCCCACAGGGGGCTATTTAAATCCTGCAGCTGCGAAGTGCTCGTGAGGAAGCGCCCTCCTGAAACACTGGCCGACGGGTCTCTGCTTCTCACTGACACTGCTGGCCGAGCTATACGAGCAGCAGGAAAGAGAATAAAATGCCCCCAGTAATCCTGCTCCTTAGATCTCCTCCCCTTTTCTGTTTAAACAGGCTTCCCCTGCCGGGACTGGCAAAATTGTTGTTTTCAGTGAAACAGAGTTGAGCTTTTTGTCCCATCCACCCCAGTAGTTTTGTGCCACAAGAGACCATGTGTTCCCAAGTTGTTAGTCAGTAGATGCGTCAAGTTCATGTCACCTGAAGAAGTGGGTTGTGCCCACGAAAGCTCATGAGACTATGGATCTATATTGGTTCATCTCGAAGGTGCCACAGAACTACTCATTTTTCAAGTTGCTAGTGCATTCCTCAAGCATCTGAGGGAACTCGGCTGTTGTAAGCGCTCACCGGTTGTGTTGCAAAGTCACTAAGTAGCCATTGTCCACTGTCATCGTCCTTAAGGGGGGCTCTGGGACGCAGAAACCGAGTTGTATACAAAGTTATTGAGGAAACGAACCCCAAGGTACCTCCAAATGTTTCCATTGTAACTGATCTCATCCTTCCCAGATCTGCTCGCTATTCATGCTCATTGGCTTACGCAGGAGGTGGAAGTTCTGGGTCTTGCATTAGGGGTCTCGTTACAGGTAGAAAAGTCCCTGTTTGAAAACCAGAAAGGGGCTGAGATTGGTGTGTGAGATTGAAAGACGCAAGATGGGGGAGGTGGCTTCCCAGGACCCAGCACATGCGGGAAGCTGGCTCCCTACGCGCACTGGCTGCCACCCCTCCCTGCCTCTGATACAGGGCTGTGTGTAACGTGGGGGTTAGCCGATGAGGCCAGGCCCATTGGTTAACTGGGTACACGGGTACCCGTTCACATCCCTAGTATGAAGGGCTGGTTCTCCCTGTTACGGATTCACTGTCCCAGCTTTCAGACAACCCCCTGGAGGAGCCCTGTGGCGTGCCAGACTCCGCCGGCCCCATGCTTCCTTACGGCTCATTGTATCTCGCGCTGAGCTCTGCCCAGGCGAGGGAGATTCTTGGTCGGAGAGCGACTCTCCAGGGAGTCCTGTGCCGAGTCCCGCGGAGCGCAGCACAGGCAGCACTTTGCTTAGCAGCGAGAGGGGTAAGGTCTAGCCAAGCAGCGTTCCAGGCTCCATGCACGCCACTTATCCCCGTCCTGCCTGATTGTCTCCCTGTAGCACAGACACTGTCTGCACCGGCAAGTCCAATGGCAAGTGCCTTTTGGCAGCAAAGCTGTGCGAGGGTTCGCGCTGCAACGTAACTTCGCTTGGTAGGGCCAACATACCCCCCAGCTTCTCATTGTGTGATTGTGCAGTCCTTAGGGCTTTCATCCTCCCGCAGGGTCTCCCATTGGCCAGTCCTTTATCAGCCCATTTATAGCCCCAGACAGCTACCGGCCGCCCTCCCCTCGCGTCCCCTGCTCTGCCCAGAGAGCAGACTTAACCCGCTAGCCCCATTGGGTAGCAAGGTACGGTGTGAGAGTCCCAGAGGGTTCCTGCCTCATCACCTCTCCTGTTCATTGTCTGACTGACGATACAGCTGCTTATCGCGTTAAAGCACTTGCAGTGATGAAAAAGTAGTTATGAACTCTTGCTCCTTGTTCTTGCATATGCACAGTGTGTGGGGTCTCGTGCAAGTGCAGAGAGTTTTTCTCCTGTAATATATTGAGCCTCAGTGCCAGCTTCTGTCAAGTTCAGCTCTATGAAGAGCAGCCCACCTAGATGAGGAAATGGAAATTCTCCATTTGTCAGCGAGTGACTGCTTTTCCTGAGCTGGACGTGGGTACTCGCTAGCACTGGGCAGCCTATTCTACTTAATAGTGATAGAAATGTAGCCTGAGGAAATGGGTCTGCCCAAGAAAGCTCATCACCTAATAAACCATCTTGTTAGTCTTTAAAGTGCTACATAGTCCTGTTATTCTACTTAAGTAGATGCCAGCAAAAATTGGTGGGAGGGAGAGGGGAAGGCCAGAGATGGCTAAAGCTGATTCCAGTGGACAAGTGGTTCTGTTCTGCTTTGTTGCATTTTTATTTGGGCAGTGCTCTAAGATTGACCTTTGAGCTCTTAGCTGTATTTGTTTCTCTCTGGCAGGTGGAAGCATTAACCCATCAGCCTAGAGCCACAACAGTACACGCAGTCCGAGATTCTGAGCTGGCCAAGCTCCCGGAGGGAGCACTGACATCTATCAAACGCAAATTCCCACAGGTAAGGCAAGTGGCATTCTTCTCTCTGCTGCCTCTCCAAGGGCCACAAGCTACTGGCCTCCCCCGTAAAGCAAAGAGCTGCATCCGTGTGCAGACTGAGCTCTCCAGTCCTGGGAGCGGTAAAGGATGTTCGTTGAGGGGTTATCTCTAAGACGAGGGTTGAGACGTGCCGCTGAATGGAGGTGCTGATGACTGGAAAGCATAAATGTTGTGGAAACAAGACATGCCTCATTTCAGAAGATAAACTAGCGAGGGGGGTTTCTTGCATAATGCAGGTTATTTCTAATGGGATGTGAAGAAAATCAAGTCATGTACTGGTGACTGATGGTGAGATACGAGCTATCTGCTCGTTGGCCAATGCAAGAGTTTCCCCTGTTGTTAATTTCTGATGCATTGTCCAGGCTGTATTAAACATCCCAAACGTAAGGAGATGCCTCACTTCCTTTAGGACGGGGTCTCCAACCTTCTTGAGCACAAGATCACTTTTTTAATTTAAGTGTGATCCAAGATCTACCTCAAACCCACACACAGTTGCTCCGCCTCCTTCCTGCCCCTTCTCCGAGGCCCTGCCCCTGCTCACTCCATCCTCCCTCCCTCCCTCCTTCACTTTCAGCAGTCCGGGGCAGAGGGTTGGGGTTCAGGCTCTGGTCTTGGATTAAGGGATTTGGAGTGTGAGAGGGGCTCTGAGCTGAGCCTGGGGCAGGCAGTTGGGGTGCCAGAAGGGGGTTCTAGGTGCTGGCTCTGGGGAGGGCATTTGGATGCTGGGGTGCAGGAGAGGGGTTGTGACTGGGGTGGAGTTTTGGGATGTGGGCACTAGCTGGGCCCGCTTATCTGAAGTGGCTCCTGGGTGGGGGTGCAGTGGGGCTAAGGAAGTGTCACCCCTGTCCTGGCCCTACACCACTCCCTAAAGCAGCCAGCAAACTCCTTTTCAAGTCCTGCTGTGCTCCCTCTCTGCTCTGTGGAGACAGGATACATGGTGGGAGAGGAGGGGAACCCTGGACATCAGCGCCCCCCTCTCCCTCCTCTGCACTGCGCAGAAAAGCAGGAGGCTCCTGAGGGGACAGCTCCAAGGCAAAGGGCTGTCTCGGGGGTGTGCAGCTGAAGTGCTGGGCTCGAAAACCTCTTGGCCAAACCAGTCAGGATCACCTGTCAGGGGCTTCAAGCGACTGGGACTTTTCAGTTTAGAAAAGAGGAGACTGAGGGGGGATATGATAGAGGTCTGTAAAAGCATGAGTGGTGTGGAGAGAGCCGATAAAGAAAAGTTATTTATTAGTTCCCTAAATAGAAGAACTAGAGGACACCAAGTGAAATTAATGGGGAGCAGGTTTAAAACTAATAAAAGAAAGTTCTTCTTCACACAGCGTGTAGTCAACCTGTGGAACTCCTTGCCAGAGGAGGCTGTGAAGGCTAGGACTATAACAGAGTTTAAAGAGAAGCTAGATAATTTCATGAAGGTTAGGTCCATAAAAGGCTATTAGCCAGGGGATAAAATGGTGCCCTTGGCCTCTGTTTGTCAGAGGCTGGAGAGGGATGGCAGGAGACAAATCGCTTGATCATTGTCTTCGGTCCACCCTCTCTGGGGCACCTGGTGCTGGCCACTGTTGGCAAACAGGCTACTGGGCTAGATGGACCTTTGGTCTGACCCCGTATGGCCGCCGTCATGATCCTGATCTAGTTGGTGAGCACTGCTTTAGGAAATGATTCCCCAGCTGAGCAGCTCTTCTGTTAGGGTGTCCTTCCTGATTTAAACTCCAGCTGTCCTTATTTCGCTGCTTTGCTCGGAGCAATTCCTCTAGAGCACTCTCCTTTGTTCCCCCTTGCCTTTGCATTTACCCCTCATCATGGCCCTTTCCTGCAAATCCTTCTCCAGCTCCCTGATCATTCTGTACCTCGACCCTGAATTTCCCTCCAATGTAATATCTGTCTGAAGCAATATCCAGAATCAGACTCTATTCCGAGGGCAAAGTCATCCCTCATGAAGACGTGTTGTTTCCCTGGTCCCCACACTCAGAGAAGTTGTATGTTTTGTCTTAATTACGGTGTTTCTAATTTTTCAGCCTTTTTGGAATAGAATGCTTCTTCCCATTGCATCAGACTCCATTTGGAGGTCCTTGACTATTCACATACAAAATAGAACAATGGCAATGCATTAACTGCATGCTGTATGGGAGCTCAGTGGCCCAAATTCTTATACCCTTATGTTGGATATTGGACTCCAGGAAAGAAGACCTTATGAGGAGAGGCTGAGGGGATTAGGGCTTGTTTAGTCTGCAGAAGAGAAGAAACGGAGGGAGGGATCTGAGAGCAGCCTTCGCCTACCTGAAGGGGGTTCCAAAGAGGATGGAGAGAGGCTGTTCTCAGTGGAGACGGACGGCAGAACAAGGAGCAATGGTCTCGAGTTGCAGAGGGAGAGGTCTAAGTTGGATATTAAGAAAAACTCTTTCTCTAGGAGCGGGCCAAGCACTGGGAGGGGTTCGCTAAGGAGGGGGTGGAATCTCCATCCCTAGAGGTTTTCAAGGCTCAGCTTGACAAAACCATCTGGGATGGTTTAGATGGGGCTGGTCTGGCTTTGGGCAGGGGGCTGGACTCTGACTCCTGAGGTCTCTGCCAGCCCTCAGATTCTATGAATCTATCAAGTCCGTGGGATTTCTCATAAGTAAAGTGCTGCCTTTTATTTGTGCTGAGACTTGGACTCTGGCCCAATATATTTTCTATGCAGATTTGAGACATGGAATGAACTCCTCCAGTAGTGATTGTGGCTGCTGCTCTTGGTGTGTGTGACATTTGTAATGTACCTGGGAGCAGAGCAGAGGTAGATAATCAGTCTAGGCTGGAGGCCATTGGCTCCATTGATATTGAATGGAAGTCTGTTCTACAGCCACTGCCATCCCTTTGAAACGTGACTGCTCAGTTCTCTCTGCTTCTGCAGACCCAGGTTGTGCTTGAACTGCCACTTTCACTGCCAAAACTGCAGTTCAGGGGCGTTAAACACCCCCTCAGCGAGAAGTTTCAGTGCGGAAATGCATCCGTATAGACAGGGCTTTGTTGCTGAGAGCACCCCCGTCCGAAGCATGACTGCCTGCCCACGTCACAGTCCGCCCCGCTCGAAGGTGCCAGCTCTGGGGTGGGAGTACCCGGGGATGAATTAGTGAATGCAGAGCGCCCACCAGCTGCTCCTTTACCTCCCGGTACGCTGAGGTCGGCTGGTGTTGTGGCTGGGTGGGGTAGAGGGGGGGAGGCGAGCCATTACAATCCGTTCTGCAGGAAGCATGCACAATGGGGTCCGGTTGGGAAGAAGGGCCGGGGTTCCCTGGGATTGTCCTGGCCTCATTCCGGTTCGGCCCGATGGGCCCCAGGCAGGCCTGGTGTCGCAGGAGAGCCCCTGCGGGATTTTCCCCTTGCTGGGTCTACCCACCAGGCCTTTGCAAGGAGATGTACATTTCCCCTTACAATCCGTTCTGCAGGAAGCATGCACAATGGGGTCCGGTTGGGAAGAAGGGCCGGGGTTCCCTGGGATTGTCCTGGCCTCATTCCGGTTCGGCCCGATGGGCCCCAGGCAGGCCTGGTGTCGCAGGAGAGCCCCTGCGGGATTTTCCCCTTGCTGGGTCTACCCACCAGGCCTTTGCAAGGAGATGTACATTTCCCCCTGAGAGGTGTCCAGGGACTTGCATTTGTTAATGTCACGGTTCTGAGCCAAGCTCAACCATTCTTTCAGGGGAAGCCAACATCTCTAGAGTGGGGGGGGGAGTTCTGAAAGACTGACTAGGGCAGGTCCACTCCTAGTGTCAGGTGATCCTTCTATCTAAGTTGAGATTTAAGGGGGGGGAGGGGCTGATTAGCAAACATTGTCACAGTGTCATTGTTCCTACACAAATATTGTTGTCACGTGATCGGTGTTTCTGTTTCAGGACGAGCACAATTTTTCTGGGACAATTCTGTTCATTACCCTTGGCTTGAATGTTTTAAAGTGAGGATTGCTTGTATTGTGTACTGCTTCTTAGACTAGCTTACTGCCAGTACATTGTTAACAGTGGTGGCTTCTGTATGTGGAAAGCAACTATTGGTTTGTTTTTTCTGGAAATTATCAGGGAGCAGTTTTTTAAAAAGACTTTAATGTGAGAAATTCCACTCTGATTTGTTTAGCGCCATCATCTTCTATAAATCAAGTTGTAAATTTTCCCAGCCGCCCAAGCTGTAGATGAAACAAAGAAAAGATGCCATTTCCCACAGATACCTTGTTTAGAACTGAATTCTCTTTACAGTAAAATGAATTCAGGCAATGTCACAGGTGAGTGGAGACCCAGCTGTAGCCAGCGCCCTGGCCTGCGAAGATCATGTAGAAGGCCATGGATGCTGAGAATTACAAGTTCTTTGAAACAGAACAGTGTGGAATTTTCATGGAAAGTCGAGCACGGGGACTGGACTAGCTCTAAACAAGCAGAGCAATGAAACTGAAATTACCGGGGTGGAAGGAGTGCACAGCTGTGCACTTGCGTGATAGCTGGAACAAATTCTATGTAAGAGAAGTACCGCTTAGCCCGCTGTGCTGAAAGGTGTTCAGGTCTGGAGCCGAAGCCAGCCAGCTGAGAGAGGCAGATACCCGGCTCAGGAGAGCTGGGGGTTACTCTGTGAGTGTATTAGAGGGCTTCTGTTGAAAATGTTGCCGTGCTCAAAGCACGTTGCCACGTTATAAAAGCACCTGGGTGACTCAGAACCAAAGTGGCATCAAAAGTCAGCGGGAATTGGGCCGGGGTCTATGCTAAGAGTTAGGTCAACACAAGGCAGCTCAGGTAAAATGTAACTCACGGTGACTGCATCAGCCTGACAGCTCTGTGCCCCTTCAGAGGTGTAGTGTTTGGAGGGTGTAGTCACTGCGCAGCTTACGTTACCTGTTGGCCGACAGCTAGACCTCCCTCCTTTTCAGGGTTCCAGCTGTCAGTGCCCCACAGGTAAGGCAGTGCAAATGCTCCTTGTGAGGATGTGCATGCTGACAGGATCCTAGTGTGCACATGAACCACCACTACTTTGAGTGCTGTCCCTGGGGGTGTTCCACTGTAGATGTCTTTGCGCCCCTATGTTCAATCAGAGACTTTTGGTAGCAGTGCCTGGGTGGGTTGCAGGTCCTTGCCTCCCGGCAGTGAACTGAAGGTGTGGGGCCAGCCCCCCCAGTTCCTTCTCTATCGCACTCAGCAGCACCTCCCTACTTTGTGCTTAACTAGTTTACGGTTGTTACTTAGCTCCCTGTTAGCAGACCCTCAGCTTCCTTCCCTTTTCCTTTCTCCTTGTTACCAAACCTTTTCTTTCTCTCTTCCACCTTGAATTGCGGCTACATTCACCCTTGGGAGGGTGAAATACACCGACAGAAATGCTCGGTTTCCCAGGCTTTAATGCTGCCGTCCCTGCAAGCTCTGAACGCCTGTTTCTGGCCGAGGCGATCTGTGTGCTCGCGTCTGGGCAGAACGCAAGTTTCACGGAAGAGTCAGCGGTGCCTTGGGCTCCTGGCTGGAACAAGGCAGCCTGGAGATTTGCAGCTCAAACTCCTCCTTATGGGCAAGTCTCTGAGACCCGCATTGGAGCCTGAAGCCTGGGGTCCCCCTACCCCTCTGAGGACTCTCCTACAGAGAAGGAAATGGTGGTTCCCTGATTGCTCCTGGCCGCGAGGGAGTGAGCTGGCTATGCCCTGTCCTCTCACGCTTCCAACAGAGATGGCTGGAAATTAACAGAGTTTTCTGGGATTAGAATTCTCCCCATGGGCTTTGTATTAGCTAAGTTGGCTGCTGGGGGAGGCTGTTACAGAGCGAGTTTGGCTGCTCTGAGGAATCTCAAAGGGCTCAAGTCTCTGTCTGAGAATAGCAGCAGCTGTGACTTCTATTGACATCTCAGAAGACGGAGCCCAAGTGCACATGCCTTGGTGGGAGAAAACGTTTGGCATGTTTTAAACTCTGAGCAAATCTTAGGCCAGGTCCTACCGTAGACCCAGGGCTGATGTTCTTTTATGTTTCCATGACAGCAGCATGGTGACTCATCCTATAATGGTAAGCAGCCTGCGTCTCTCTTGCAGAGCGCTGGAAAACAACTGTTCCATGGCTGTCCCAGGGTGTACGGTTTGCTGTAACTAGTACAGCAAATCACATGGTCTGGTGGTGGAAACAGCAGGCTCCTGGGTTCTGTTCACAGGTCTCCCACCAAGTCTGGGTAAATCACTAAGGGCACGGTCACAGCCCTTCCCTTGTACAGTATGTGTGTTGGTTGCAATAAATGGTGGCAGGTGTTACTTGTTCGCTAACCTCTTTGAGCTGCTCAATTGAAAGGTGCATTAAAAATGCAGAATATGGTTAACTGGTGACTCCATCGCTGTTAGTCGAGATGCATCGATTTTTTACATGCAAATTGATACTCCAGTGTGCCTGCTTCCTAAACACTCTCTGTATACACATTAGCTCCAGTCCGGGCCTAGGTCATTTCCCGGGGGAGGAGTTTTGCTGTCTAATAGGTTTCACTACAGTTGAGGCAGTTGGCAAGTTTGGGTTTAGCTGTGGAAAACCAAACTCGGTCCTTGCAAGTCTAGGAGGTGCAGTGCTGCAGCAGGGCCCGCTTGGGGCAGAGTGAGGAGGAGGCTCTGTGATACCTGTAGCAGAGTTAGTTGATGTTAATCCCAGCGGGGAGATCTCAATAAAGGAGGTGGGCAGTCAGCAGTTCGATCTTAGCCAGTGTGCGCTAACAGATACTCTTCTGCTGGATCAATTGTCTCTGCTGAGCAAGGTTCAGAGACTGAGAACACCAATGGAAAAGTTAACTTACTAAAGTCAGTCTCCTTAGGTCACTGCTAGTATGAGCAGGGCCCTACCAAATACCTGGTCCCTTTTGGTCAATTTCACACCCATAGGATTTGAACCATCATAAAAGTCATGATTTTTAAATCTGAAATGTCGTGGTGTCGTAGCTGTGGGGCTCCTGACCCAAAAGAAGGTCTGGAGGGCCAGCAAGATCAATGGGGGGGACAGGTTGGTAATATTGCCACCCTTGATTCTGTGCTGCTACCACTCCAGCCACCCAGGTAGCACACAAGCCAGGGTGGCGATACCACAGACTCCCTACAATAACCCTGCAGCTCTTCCTGCACCCCCGGCTGGATTGGAACCCACAGCTTGAGAAATGCTGGTCTCCCGGTGAGAGCTGTGCACTGCAGTGTAAAGGGACACACAGGACCAGGTTCCACAGGGGAGAGCAGATTTCATGGTCTGTGATGCATTTTTCACAGCCATGAATTTGGTAGGGCCCCAAGTATGATTGACACAGCGGCTTGGGGAAGACTTCAAAGAATGTGATGGTCTGGGCTTGGTGAGAGAGGGGCTTGAGTAGCAGGTCATAAAACCTCTGGATTGGCTGGGATGTTCATGGCACTTCTGTCTTGGCATGCACACACACGTGGAAGTGCTGCCTGGAGCTGAGCACTGGTTTGATATTCTGTAACACTCAGCGGAATGCAGGGGCCCATACTCCGCACGGGGGCTGTGGGAAACTCTCCCAGTGGGGGGCAGAGCTGGAAGCCCCATTACTTGGGACACTGAAAACTAGATTGAACCAAATGTTAGAAGATGTGCACTTTGGAACAGACCTACCCTGGCAGAGCGGTGGGAACAGAGGGTTAAATGGGCCTCTTCCATCTCTGACTTCTGTCTGTAATATATGCCAGTATTTCCATTATAGTCTCTATGGACTGTTTGCTTTGACTGTCCCTAATGCTGGAGGTAGGGCACACATGCTTCCGCACAACTTAGTTTTCTGATACATTGTCCCTGTCTGGAGTTTGGTCGTTGTTCTCAGTTCTGACTCTAGTAATTGATGCTGTGTTGGAGATGCCCTGAGTTTTTCTCCAAATGTTTTTTATAGTTCACGTTTGTTGAAATTATGAGATTCCATGAACTATGCAGACTTAATCAGTGGTAATGGCTGCCTGGAATAAAATTGCTTTAGGTAAGATTTATAGAACAACACTAATTGCCAAGCCGCGATGCTTTACAAGGCTTTCCACTTAAAGGTTAAATCTGGAAGCGATAACACGTGGGAGAAATTTGTTTGATTGTTACAAGTTATTGACTTTTATGGCTTGGAAGGAGGGGGAAAGGAAGTCATTTATTCTTTCTGCTAATACAAGAAATAGGGGTCACCAAATGAAATTAACAGGTAGAAGGTTTTTTTAAAAAAAGGAAGTATTTCTTCAAACAACACTTAGTCAACCTGTGGAACTCCTTGCCAGAGGATGTTGTGAAGACCAGGATTTTAACAGGGTTCAAAGAAGAACTATGTAAATTCATGGAAGATAGGTCCATCAATGGCTTCAGAGGGTTAGCTGTGTTAGTCTGTAATAGAAAAAACTTAAAACACAACAAATAGTCCTGCAGCACCTTAGAGACTAACAAAAAATGTATATGGTAACATGAACTTTGGTGGGCACAACCCACTTTTTCAGATGAAAGAAGTGATACCATCTATGTGTTTTGTTAGTCTCTAAGATGCTGAAGGACTTTTTGTTGTATTTTAAGTTTTTTCCATCAATGGCTATTAGAGATGGTGTCTCTTGCTACTTTGTCAGAAGTTGGTATTGGGTGACACGGGCGGGATCACTTGATGATTTCTGTTCATTCCCTCCGGGGCACGTGGCATTGGCTGCTGTCAGAAGACAGGATACTGGGCTAGATGGACCTTTGGTCTGACCCAGAATGGTGGCTGTTTTGTTTTTCTTATGTTCTCATGTCTTGGCAGGACCAACCGCAGTCCAGGGTTACAAGAAAAGCAAGACTATTCATAGATCTTTGTCCCAAGTACCGGGACATTAAGTTTCTCGAGTATTGCTAATGGCCCCCATTTAGCATGTCAAGATTAGTAAACCGATTTATGCTTCATATTTTTAGCTTGAGATACAGGAACATAAATAGAATATATACACTTAGCAGATTATAACTTTTCAAGTATGTGTTGCAATATGTATTTTGCATAAAGCATCTTCTAGTTGTGCATATGTGTATTAATAAGCATATTTCCATAAAGAATATGGTGTGCAAAGTCACAATGACAGACTCTTTCCAGAAAAGTTGATTTTAGTAGCAGAACAGGTTGCAAATCACCTTTTTTGTTGTTGTTGTTTGTTTTTAAAGTCTTAAGGGTTAATATAAAATGAAAATGACACGGGTATGCAAGAATAATGAACTTTCACTATACCACAGAGTGGAAGTAATTGCTTCCTCTGGAAAAGATGTGCTTTATAAAACCCTTAGCAATTCTTAACAATCTTCTGTTTAAACTCTTCTCTTAAATCTTTGCATTGCCTGTTTGAATATTTTGTTTTAATGCACTCGGCCTGAAATGTTCATGTTTTCCACCTGCCAGGTTGTGACTAGACTGATCCATTTGCTGGGTGAGAAGATTCTTGGAAGTCTTCAGCAAGGGGGTAAGAAACAATTCCTGGGTCATTTGCTTTATTTACAGTGTTCAGAAAAGCTACCGAAGAGCCACATTCAGCTCTCGGTTTTAGAGAGACGTTTTCCAAGATAGTTTGCTGAATTCAGTGCGGGTACTGCTGGATTTATGCCAGTAAATTTGAGAACGCAGAATTCCAGTTGCAGATACAAATTTGCCATTAATTATTCCACTTAGCCAGGAACATAAGGGCATTACAATTTCACAATGAATGTACGTACAGAATGTATATGCATGGGTAGGATAAAAGGGATGGAGGAACGAAATGAAATGTAATTGATCCCACTGTGAAATCTGCTTCTAGTAACTGTTGAGAGGGGGTTTGCAGAACGAGGGAGTAATACTGCATCCAGGAACCTTGCACAGAATCACATCCCACTGAACAGAATCTGCATGTGGGACAACGTGATAAATCTGTAGTTTGTGTCTCTGGCTGACTTGCCTAATAGCAAATATTCAGAACTAGACTTACCTGGCATTGCTTGGGTACTTAATTCAATTCAATTTGCTTTTTGGAAAATGAAATGAAAATGTCCAGGTTCCATTTCAATCAGTGCTCTGGGGCGGGGCTGGGGAGGAGGGGTTCAGGATGCAGGCTGCCCTGGGGAGAGAGGACAACCCCAGCCCTCTCTCGCTGCAGCAGCTTGGGGCCAGATGAGACGTGCCTCTCCATGGCCGCTACAGCTCCAGCAGGCACAGCTGTGAGAGGGGTGCATTTCCCCTGTCTGGGGCAGGTTCAGGTTGTTCTCCCTTCTGTACTCCCCCGCCAGAGTGAGGAATGCAGCAAACAGTGCACTTCCCCTCACTCCCTGATGAAGCGTTACAGCTGGCAATGTCCCCGTACCAATTGGGCTTCAGCCCTCCCTAAAGGGCAGCTGGGGGGTGGGAAGCTCAGAGCTGGGGCAGTCCTGGAAGGGAGGCGGGGGAGTGACCCCCAGCCAGCCCCTTTCACCTGCCTGGTGATTCTGACTCTTTTCTGTATGGTTTTCTGAGAAGCAATCCCATTCCAGGCACATCCCATTGTCCTGGCAGGACCGTCCCGTACCCTGCTTTAAGTTCTAAGGGGAAGCTGTTTGCTGATCGGTGACCCTAGCTCTCCCGGGTTTGGGGGGTACAGTGAGGACGGACAGACACATGGTAGATTTAAGTGTTATGCCGAGAAACGTGCCAATCGTCATGGCTGAATTAGTTCAGATCACTAATTGGGTTGATGGTTAGTAGATGGGAGGAAATTGCCTCTGCTGCTTGTTCTGCCTGGGCGGTAACATTAAACCAATTGAACAGACAGTTATTGGCTGTTTCCTGCCTCACCATTGTCTGAGGCAAACGGAGCAAAAGTAACAACTGGTTTGAAAGGTCTTAGGCCCTTTTATGCCTCTAATTGTAAGTGAAGCCGGCGAGGCTGGAAGCCCCCTCAGCCAAGCGCAGTTATGGCTGTCCCGCTGGCGGGGAAAGGACGTTCTACTCTCACAGCCATGTCAGCATGGCTCCCGTTGCCGGGGACTGCACCCCCTTTGTGGGGGGGGGAGGGGAGCACTGGGCTGGGTTCCCTAGAGGTGTTTAAGTCCCGGCTTGACAGAGCCCTGGCTGGGGTGATTGAGCTGGGGTAGATCCTGCTTTGGGCGGGGGGCTGGACTCGATGCCAGAGCCTAGGCAGCATTGGTGGCCTACTTCAGAAATTGGCAGATCTCGACGATTGGCATGGCGACTGTGAGGTACATTCCTTTAACCATCGTGAAATGATCTAGGAAAACAGGAGAAATGGTCAGAGGTAGATGGGATGAAATTCAGTAAGGACAAAGGCAAAGTGTGCCACGTGGGAAGGAACAAATCAGTTGCACATGAACAAAATGGGAAGCGACTGTCTAGGAAGGAGTCCTGCAGAAAGGGATCTAGGGGTCAGAGTGGACCACAAGCTAAGTATAGTCAACAGTGTGAGGCTCTTGCAAAAAAAGCAAACTTCATTCTGGGATGTATTAGCAGGAGTGTTGTGAGCAAGAGGCAAGAAGCCATTCTTCCCCTCTACTCTGCATTGATTAGGCCTCTGCTGGAGTTTTGTGTCCTGTTCTGGGTGCCACATTTCAGGAAAGATGTGGACAAATGGAGAAAATCCTGTTAAGAGCAACAAAAATGGTTAAAGTTCTAGAAACATGACCTCTGAGGGAGAATTGGAAGAATTGGGTTTGTTTAGTCTGGAAAAGAGAAGGCTGAGAGGGAACATAACAGTTTTCAAGGATCTAAAAGGGTGTCATAAAGAGGAGAGTGAAAAATTATTCTCCTTAACCTCTGAGGACAGGACAAGAAGCAATGGGCTTAAATTGCAGCAAGGGAGGTTTAGGTTGGACATTAGGAAAACTGTCCTGTCAGGGTGGTGAAGCATCGGAATAAATTGCCTAGGGGGATTGTGGAATCTCCATTGGAGATATTTAAGACACCTGTCAGGGTTGATCTCTAGATGATGCTTGGTCCTGCCATGAGCACTGGGGACTGGACTTGACCTCTTGAGGGGTCCCTTCCAGTTCTATGAAATGTCATGCGCTTGACAGGGCAGCCATGGCAGTGCCAAGCGTGGATGGGCAGTGCTGCAGTTGTTGCTTCCCTGATGATCTGTGAGGCTTCAGTCCCACCATGCGTGGACGGTGCTGCTCGCCAGCCCTCTAGCGAGATGCACACTGACAGACCTGGCGAGGACGACGGGTCCTTAGGCTCCTCAGGATGTAGTCTGTCCGGTCCCATGACCCAGCCTGCATCCCTGTCCTGAGTGCTCCGCAAGTGTGGGCTTTGAGCTGTGATGCAGCTGACCAAGGGATGTCCCTGTTCTGAAATGTAACCTCCCCTTCTATCCTGTGGCTTTTTGGCTTTGGCTTGTTGATGTGTATATTGGGTCTGACACTTGGTCTAGCTGCTGTACGGGATGTACTCAGTACAAAATAGATCTAAATCACAGGAGAGATTTTCTCCCTCTGCCTGAGCTGTATTTAAGCAACATTTGCCAACCAAACTCAGCTGTTCAGGAAAGTTCCCATTAGATGCTGGCATGCTGTGCTATGCAGCACAGTGCCCTTGTACCTAGGCCACGGCTCATCACGGGCACACACCTCACCTGGCTGAACAGGTTTCTTGTACTAAACACTTCAAGGGCTGGGCCGCTGGTTTGGAGCTGTGGTAGGTGTCCCTTTGTAAATGGCTGGCAGCAAGCGCCGGTCGTTTGGTTGGTAGCTTCCAGTTCCTGTCTTTGGTAAGCAGCCACCTGCCCCCATGCGGCCCGGCTGTTGCTCTTGGTGAAGTTGGACGCTGCATGCATTGCAGTGTCTCTCAGCTCGGGCAGTGTCTCTTCTTCGCCCAGGGGTTGCTTCCAAAGCCTGGTCCCCCTCGGGCTCTGAGTGCTCTGGTCTTCTGTAGCTTCTGGTTAGACCAGAAAGGTGAATTCCCAGGACTTGTCACCCCCAGAATTTGTCCTGGTTCATTGCAAAGGGCCGATCTGCCTGCGCCTGTCACATCGATTTGTTCGTTATTTTCATCAGCTGAATGCTGGTTCCCTTCCCCCCCCTCCCGTATTTTGAAGACTAATATTTTCTATGGGAGTCACGCCCCAGGA